TTAATGAGAATTATCCGATTAATATTATTAATTTTTCTACTTTTTTATAAATTACACAAATATTATTCTAAAATAATTTAACAAAAAACGAAAAGCTGTGGAGCTTGCTTATTTATCTGAAAAAAAAAAAAAAAGATTTGTTGGAAAATGATACATTTATATTTTATATATGCGTAAGCATAACGGAAATTATGATCTCATCCAGTAAGTTAGAAAATTCTTTTACTTTGGTTTACACAAAACGACGACGGATGTAAATTTTGCGGAGGATAATGAAAGGCAAACGAGCATCCGGTATACTTGACCGTATTGCAAAAATATGTAGAGACACCCCCGCAAAGAACGGATTTATAAACAGAAAGCCAAACACATACGAAACCGGAAGTGACTACTGTAAATTTCATCAACTTTTGTATTTCAGTAAAATTCTTTTGCATATTTATACAGTTTTTTACATTGTCGTAAAATCATTAAAATGTTATGCTATTTAAACCCATAATTATACTAAATGATAAAATTTTTAATTTTATAAAATTAATGTTTTATCCAAAAATGTACTCCGAAAGTTTCTCTGAACCAGATAAGCTTTGCATTTTTACAAAATAAAGCAAGTTTTTAAAAATTAAAGTAATATTAAATTGATTAATTACTGGTTTGTCATTATTTATTTAATTATCAGATTTGCCAAATTAGAATTTTAATTAACAAATGTTTTTAAGTAGCAACCTTTATGCACTTGTTAATTAAAATTCTTATTTTCACGAAATGCACACGTATGATGTCAATCACAACGTATCTTCTCCGCGGTTAATTATCACTTTGCATCACTCATTTCCCTGCGGTCAAATAAAGCAACACAAATTCAATGTTACATTAATGATTTTCGCGCGTATATGTACTTTATGTGATATATAATTAAAGATATAATTATAAAGCACGACTCTTCTCATGCTTTATTCTATAATTTATACGTTTATTAATTAATTTTAATTAAACTTTGCAATTAAATCGTCATAATATTTATCCACAAATAATATCATTGCGACTGATTTAATATCCCAAAGTGAATGACAAGATACGATGAACTTTGATTTTTTTTAAGGTGGCGAGGAATGTTCCGTGACAAAGAAATTGGCGTAAAATCGATTTTGCGTATAGAATAGCATCATATAAGGGTCGTTGAAATGGGCGTTGGCTTTCTTTCGAGCATGAAACATTCAGACAGTCCATTTTGTCTATTACGAGCTTCGTTGGATAGTAACACGAGGTACTTTCGCCAACAAAACTTTCCTTTGCTCGATCAAATGTAATTCAACTACAAACAGTTCCCCTTTTTCGCCAGCTTCCTCTAAATATTATCATCTTTGAAGAACGCTATTATTCTTCCGCGTCAAAGAGATCGCTACGTTCAAAGCAAAATTATTCAATTTACTTTTCTATTGTGAAACACATTATATCATATCTTTGAACAAAATATCGAACAGCTTTCAGAATTCGATAATACATTGAGATCAAAATTAAATCGCATATTCCTTAAATTTTGTAGCTTCTTAGTTTAGAATCGATTTTTGTTTAATATAAAAAATGTCGAAAAACTTACAATTTATTGTCATTTTTCAATCTCTAATATTTTTTAATTAATCCGTAAATTAAAATGCGCTATAAATGTATTTAAAATTAATCGAGGATGTCCTGTTAGGTGTATTTACGCTCTTGAGATTTATAATTAGCTCGAGAAAACCTCTTTAATTTCATTCACTAATTACACAGAGGCTGATAATGTCTCGACATTTTTACTAAGGAAAAATCGACTCGAAATTAGCGAAGAAAGCGTGGTTAAAGAAGCATGCGATGCATTACTGGAACAATTTCTTTTATCTCTTTTTTTTGTATATATATACGAAGGCGGTCCGATAAGTACTTAGCCTACAAAAGAAAAACGAAAATTTTGGAAAAGTGGCGATTTATTTCTCAACATAGTCTTCTTTTAGCTCGATATACTTGACCCAGCGATGCTCCAACTTCTTTAACCCATTTGAAAAATAGGTTTTCTCGAGGTCTGCAAAGTAGACCTCCGTGGCGGCGATGACCTCTTCATTCGACTCAAATTTCTGCCCGGCGAGTGACTTTTTCAAGTTTGAAAACAAAAAAAAGTCGCACGGGGCCAAATTTGGAGAATACGGTGGATGGGGCAGCAATTCATAGTGCAATTCGACCAATTTGGCCGTGGCGACGGCGGAGGTGTGAGCCGGTGCGTTGTCATGGTGGAAGAGCACTTTTTTCTTCGCCAAATGGGGCCGTTTTTTCTGCAATTCGGCGTCGAATCGGTCCAATAATTCATCGACTACCTGGAGAAGGGCAAAACGGTCACAGGACATAGTAAAGCCCTGTGACCGTTTTGCCCTTCTCCAGGTAGTCGATGTAGATCACACCTTGTGAATCCCAGAAAACGGTGGCCATCACCTTTCCGGCCGATAGGACAGTCTTCGCCTTCTTCGGAGCACGTTCGCCGGGTAAAGTCCACTGTTTCGACTGTTCCTTGGTCTCTGGTGTGTACCAGTGGATCCATGTTTCGTCGACGGTCACGAAACGACGCAGAAACTCCTTCGGATTGCGCTTAAACAGCGTCAAACACTGCTCTGAAGTGGTCTCACGGTTGCGCTTGTTGTCCGGAGTGAGCAAACGCGGCACCCATCGCGCCGACAGCTTTCTCATGCCCAAAATTTCATGCAGGATATGACCCACGCGGTCTTTTGAGATGCCTACTGTTTCAGCTATCTCGCGCACCTTCAATCGGCGGTCTGCCAATACGAGATCGTGGATTTTTGTCACGTTATCCTCTGTGGTAGCCATTTTCGGGGCACCTGGGCGTGACTCATCAAAAACCGACGTGCGACCACGTTGAAACTCGTTAAACCAATTTTTGACGGTCGAAGGAGAAGAGTCACCGTACACAGCATCCAAGCGCTCTTTGATTTCGCTGCGCGATTTCCCTTCCAAAAACAAGAATCGAATCACCGACCGATATTGCTCTTTTTCCATTTTTCTAAAATCCGCGGACACGCCCGCTTCCACACGCGATCAAAACAAAACTACGAGTCTGATTCGGCTGAAATTTTGACAGTAGCCGTCTACGAGAATGTACTACACGATAGTATTATAAATCTCTCTTGCAATACTGGCACCATCGGGCGGTGAGGCTAAGTACTTATCGGACTTATATTCTCCGAAATTTTACAATAGCATATAAAACAGAGTACAGTTAAACAAAAATTGTGAATAAATTGTTTGATACAAAATTTTTCAAAAATTGTTACCATAAATCTCTAATAACGCGAATCATGAAAAAATCTTCTTATACAGACAAACTACGCTGTGATTATCACTTCCGTGTATTGTTTTGCGAGAATAATGTTTCCGTAATGCATGTCACTCCTGTCCGATTACCGTATAATAAAATCATTAGCTCCAGGAGAAGATAATAATAAAAAAAACTCGTTTACGTAATCACACGTGTTTGTAATCCTCGCACTCTGTAGCGTGTTAAATATTTAAATTACCCGGAAAGGCAGATTTTCTTCGTGTTCCCTTCTCTAAAAGAGAGGGAAATCTCGCAATCCACGGTTTAACATCGCCGGCGAATGATCTCAGCAAATCTTTTCGATTATCCGCGGCAAATGCAATTTACAACGCTTTAATTTCCTAGCTCTCTGGTACTCGATTGAATCTGTCATCAACAACTGCTAAAATCCCTCGCTTTTGAAATTATTCATATATTTTGTTCATGTAAAAAATTTAAATAATAGCTAATAATAAACTATAATTAAGTAATTTATCGTATTGGAAACTCAGTTCTTGTTAGAAGAATTTTCGAAGAATTTTCTGTACACATGTTGTAAATGACATAGATTTATTTTAATGACACTAACACGCCGTTGAATATTCATCGACAGATACGGGAGTCAGAGCAGACATCGGTATTCAAAGCAACGTATTCGCAGTTGAGAAAGTCAGGCGCGTTTCGCAATGTCCAGACACGATTCGATCGAGCAAAGAAGACTGGATGTCGGTCGCGTTCCCCTTCACCAATCGGTTGACCACAACTCAAACTCTGACTCCGGTATGTCACATGGAGGCACACAATTTTCTCTAGTATTGATATTATACGTCCAATATGCTGCTTCCCGAAATTTATAGTCTCTTCATTCGATCTCGAAGTCTCATTGAACGAATAAATAAAATCCCACGCAATGCTTACATTCGAATTTTATCAAATCAAAATATCGCGTTGAAATTATACTTGCATATTTGATGTTAATATACGTGAATATAATTAATTATAGATAAACAGAGACAAGAAATTTCAAAAAAAAATTTCTCTCTCCACATTAACTTTTATTTATAGCTATTTATTCGTTCGCTTAACTTGATTAGCATATCTGCATCATAAATTTAAATATTTTATGCTTTTAGACGTGTTTGTCTCAAGACTACTTCAAGTACGCGCATTTCAATATAAAGAAACGTTTTAGAGAGGAATGTCCTAGATCGAGATTGCTTTCTGCCATTCCACGCCCTTGATAAATATAATGAGAACAGAAGATTAATGTAATAATTCCAGGAAATCGACTAATTCTAAATAAATTAATGCATAGATATGAGCAATGGCAAGCAAGAAAATAATTGTAAAATCTATAAACTTAATATAAATTTATACAAAATGCAAATAATAATAAAATTATTGACTTGACAAAGTTGATCATCTACGATTTTTTAATTATTTATAGAGAAGCTAAGAATAATGAAAAATTTGAACTAAAAATAAAAATTCTCTTTTTTCAATGTATACACAAACAAAAGCAAATTGACACTGCTTTCTTATGATTATATCAATCTTGCGTTTCATCTCGATCCTCGTCCTTCGCGTTAATACCCACATCTCCAACATAAAACCACATTCTATCCGTACGTCCTAGATCCATGTGATTAACAACACTCACCTCGGTTAAAAGAATCAGCGACAGCAGGAGGATGCCGCTAAATTTGGATATCGGTTGCGGACAGGAGACTTTGCGGCACGTCATCCTTGATAAATCTAAATTTACTCCGAAATCCTCTTATCTTCCTGGAGCAGCCACGTTCTCTCGGTCCACCTCACCGAGACACTCACTGGCACCTCACGTAATTGACTCCCACGAGTACACACCTCCGGTTAAGTAACGAGGAATGCGCGAGGAATGTGCGTGTCACATCGATCGATCGACGACTCACTTCTTCGTGGTCGCGCGTGTACTATCACAAGAAATCGCGTATCCCACTCCGGCCGCCTCGCGGTAACACCTGTTCGGTCGTTTGACAGCTATGCCGGTCCCGGAGATAGTGACGATGGTAGAGGAGCCGAGGGATCGCGACGGCAGGCACGGCTGTCATATCAGACCGGCGAACCGCGTGTCGCGAACTCGACGTCTTCCGAGTGACTGAATGACTATGACTACGCGCGCGAGTTATCGCGATGAGTCCGAAACACCAGGAAACAATGATTCGGTTGAACACGGGGAACCTCGAAAGTCCGCTTTCAGTCCTTGGACTCTCCTCTTCCTCCTCCCCCCACTCGAATCCGGTGCATCCACTCTGTGTCAGGTGTACCGGAGTGTTATATAAATTTTTCACGAATCGAGAATCACTCGCTTTCCTCTGTATCTCAACGCTCACGCTTCATTCAATTCCGCTTCGACATGCTAATTGCTGAACGGTTCTCACAAATTTAGATGGTTCGGCTTCGTTGCGTACATTTTCTTATCTTTTAAATATGTGTCCAATCGTGGAATGCTTCTTAATTTTGATTGTATCGCTTTTTCTTTGTGTAGGAAATTTCTTTATAAAACGAACAGTAATTGATATACATATATAGATATTAAATTTTCTAGTATATTTTCATACATTCTTCATATTTTTTACTCCCATTGAAACTTTTTTCTAAATTTTGACATCTATCTAATGTTGAAAATATATTTCAACAATTAGTATATACATAAATAATTATATTAGCAAAGAATAGTTGCCTTTACTTTACCTCGTGCGCGTATCGCATCTTTTCATTCTGCCTTTCTTCATGTTGTTCAGCAGAATACCGGTTCCTTCGCTCATTAAAGATCAGACAGCTTTGTTTTCCTTCACGTTATCCTTGAAGTACGTGACGTAAAGAAATCATCTAATATATTAATGTATCTAGCTGAATCTCTCGAAGAAAAAAGACGATACAGAATTGCACTATTTCTATTTATTTATTTAACTTTCTTGTCCTTCTCTCTCGTCTATCTATTCGCAAAACGGAACGTGAACTGACTATTTCTGGACTGGATTAATTTCCTCCCTTCGTTACTTTGCAATTTGAGCACTCCAATGTGCGGAACGGAATAACGAACTGCAGGGGTGGCGCCCTTCGGCGCGGTCAATGTGACAACAATGAGGTAACGAAGCAAGCTTCACAAAACACTGGAAATAGCCGCGAGATTGTTCAGTGATCGGAAACGTGTGATTTTGTTCCCAAGGAAGGGTCGGTCCAATCGATCCCTCCTTACATTTACTGCTACGTTCCTGGTTTCGTGTATTATTGGCGCTGATATTTACTTGTCATTTGACAATACGACTTTCAACCGCGGTTTTTTGTGCGTACCATATTTGTACGTGTATCTAGTCAACGGAATTTTTGTTATATCTCGCTACAGCTTCGTCTAATATCACCAAAGAGAAATATTACGAGTCCAAGCACATGAGACGGAACACGACGCGGAAATGTGACACGGAATATAAGTTATGGCCGGATTATGAGCGGATTAAATTGTTCTGTTATTTCATACGTCCAGAAGAAACTTCCTTCCGTTATTCTCACGTGCGAGACATTACTCGTGAGAAGATCTATAGCGCGAGAAACGTCAAGTCAACGACACGAAATTATCCTGAACGATCCGTCGAGGAATCCCCATGAGAAAGGAGAAATGTCAAATGCTCCGTCTTACTTAACAAAGAAGCAGCCATCCAAGCGTTTCGATGCCATTGTCCTTGCCGCTCCCTAGACATTTATTTAAATTAATCGCTATATATACGCGCGCATCATCGTAGAATATAAAAAGACTCGAATTCCAAATGAAAACACCATCGAACAACACCAACTTTCTATAAACGCACACGCTGAGTCTTTTTTCTGTTATCAATCAATCAATCGAACATCCGCCTCGAATCACGATTTTTTAACGAGGAAAGGAACAAATTCGCGATCTCGCTCATCGATAAAGCCACTATTAATCCGTCTGTCATCCTGAGATCCCGAAGAACACCTGGGCTAGTCCCCGAGGAACACCTGGGCAGATCCCTGAGAGGTTCGCAGCCGCTGTGTCTACGTCGAGCTCCCAAATTAGATAAAGGCGCGAAGTTGACGAAGAAGGCCCGGAAGAAGCGAAGCGTTCAGCGTGCTTTCGCGAGGACGTAGGTGCACTCGGTCGACTGGCGCGCTTTCATGATGCTTCAAACCCGGTGCGGGTGACCACCAGGGCCAACGGGACTCACGGTTGCTCTTTCAACACTCAGCTCGTGGTTACAATCGAGGCAGCGCCAGGCTAAGCCATTCCCTGCCTCGTCACCCCTCATCCCTGCCACCTCGTCGAGCAACCTGGCTGTCTTTCCATTCCAACTCTGGCTCTTTCTCTTTCTCTCTCCTTCTCTTTTTCTCTCCCACCTGCCTCTCGTCCGCCTCCTTCTCTCCTTCGACCTGGCCTGCCCAGGCTAAACATCCAACGCAGCCGCCATCACTACTGCATCCGCTGCCTCGGACTCCCACCGACTGTCGGAGCTTGCCTTCTCTCTTTCCCTCTTGCTTGCTCTTGCCGTGTATATTGTGTGCACGTGCATGGTGTGCATGCCGTATACAGACGAGTAGGGTATAGCTGTGTGCGGGTGAATCCAGTAACGTAGCTAGAAGAAGAGACTACAAGATGGTAAGCAAGATAATTTACTGATGAATCCTGATAAATAATTCATTGTGTTTGCTATGAATATATTTAGTTTTTATCGTCTGCAGCTGTCAAGTAAATCGCTGACAATCAATCATCTTTTTCTGGTATTCTCTTATTCTATTTGCTAATAATGAGATCTAATAGAATATGCGCATTTTATATATTCATGATATTTCACCTGAAATGTATAAAACAATCAAGTTTTCTAGCTGTATAGTTTTACGAGAAATTGATCAAAACTCCGTCGAAATATATTTCCACGATAGACGTGAGAACGAAACATATTGGCCACGTGTCACGTCAAATAATAGAAGACGAGACCCTCCCATAAACCCTGTCAATTCCACGCAATGGCATTTAAAATGATGCGACGTCTTCACGGAGCTCGAAATTCCGAACGTGGCATCTGTAATCTCACATCCATGTTGACTCATCTCTCTCTTCTTTTACATCTTATTTTTCCCCAGGTAACACATCATTCCCTGCCCTTTCCTGACGTATTCCCGAAGTAAGGTAAAACACTAACACACATTCGGGTCCCCCTCGCTCGCACTTATACGCGTGCACTAACGACCACACGCATACATACCACCTCCTGTTTCTTCCTCTCTATACCAGCATCTCTTGCTACATCCTCCCTCAACCCTCGCCGCACTTTGCCGCCGCGTTTCCCCGGCCTTTGCCCTCCGCAACGTTGTTCCTGAAGCGACAGTCGCCACCTGACACACGTATACGCGTGCGCACGCACACAGATACCCCTGATGTATAGGTATACACCATCTTTATTCATAGAAATCGTTGCTCTCCCACACCTACGCAGGTAGGTCTCTGCGAGTCTCGAAGTCAGAAACGTGGTTAGCGTAATTAGCGCCCCGTTGAAGACATCTGTAAGCGTTAGAATCTGTAATTGTGGGTGTTTAATTCCGTGGAGGGGCGGCTAAAGGGATGAAAAAATCAATAACAGCGACGCAGGTATTTCGGCTCATTCTATCTGTAGAAAATTTATTTCACTTTTATCCGCGACGATAAAAGCGCGATTACCGTAAAGAGAAACTTTCTACGTTCTGTCTCTTTATAAACGGTTTATAAGAATCTTGATCGAGCTTGACAGTAGCAAAATAACAGCTCAACCAACTGTCATTTAGTGATAGTATCGAAAATACATTCTAGTTTACGTCATCAAAATCACGTTACTTTCACTGCCGATGAATCTTTTCATGTCTTCTATAATATACAAGTTTGGGAATAAAATAAATTTCAAACTAAACTCGTATATTCTTTGTCTAATTTGCATCTAGTATATCCGTAATGTAAAATAATAAAATATTGACAGATGTGTAAACATTTCCATGTGGATTTAAAGAGAAACTATATACATGAACTGTTACATAAATAAAAATATGCGTAGTTGTAACATTCGCAGAGTTTATTACAACAAATAAAATAATCAACTCTGTAAAAGCTCTACTTTTCTAAGAATTATTTTGTAACGCTGGATTTACATCTACATAAAAACTGTATAATGATACGTAGAAGTCTGTTTTGCATGCCATTACATACCATTCTGATGAACAAAACAGTTTCTGTTAGCTACATCCGGTATATTACATTAGCAGGCAACGTCAACTTCTACCATGACAGTTGTTGATTTGAAGACACAAAAGTGAAAAGATGAATGTGATTTTATTTATTATATAAAAAAATCGTTTTTAAATCATAATAATAATAAACTAGTATATATCTAATGAAAGATTTCCTATGAATTGTTATTTTATATGCATTTTCAATGCTTCTTTTTAACAACCGACGATAATAGACTTATAGAACGAAACTGAATAAATTTAGTGATCAATGAAGCGATTTCGTCATTTTCGTCAATGACACTTATTAGCTATAGTTTATTCAACTACCCACAACCTGAAATAAATATGTATATCTGCGAATGTATGGCGAGGACCAAGCAAACTGACGTCAACAACAGGTTGAGGTATCTTCTGTCATCTTTATCTCTTCACATCATGACATCATTGTCGGAGCAGTTGGTCCTTTTACGAATAGATCAACAACAGTTTGATATTAAGGTAATTAATTCATTTATTACATCAGTCCTTTATCGATATTTGTTGTGTCATAATCAATTTTTTCTATACAGAAGCATTGACGATTAAGGAAATCATAGAAAGATAATTATTATATCTGTACGTATTAATTAAATAAAATAATTTTATATTTTTTTAATAAGAATTTGTAATTCTTAATAGTATTTTATGCTGATAATATATAATAATAAATTATATATATATATTTAAAAATTCAAAATTTGATTTCAATCAACTACTTATAAATGACATATAATACGTATAATTTTAAGAGAAAGTTATAATCACATTGCATTATTTTCAAGCATTTGCAAAGTATTATCCTCTTAAATCAAATTATAGTGACGGAAATGATTACGATTAATTTATACATGGCTGTCTATATTGATATGCATTATCACCGTTTAAGGAAATTAAATAAAATGTACTTACTATTTTATAAAGCAAATTTCAATTTAAATAAAAAATTACTTATCTACATCTAATTAATATCAATATTTATAAAATGATCAATTATTAAAATAAAATTAAAATAACTACATTAATTTTTATGATAACAGCGCATAAAATTAAAATAATATAGAAAATTTTCATTAACGATAAGACTTTAAAAACATAATAATATAATCTTATAAATTACATAATGTGTCCTTGAATATAAAAGTATCGTGACTTGTAGACACTCGGACAAGCTGCATGAACGCATATATCTGACTTAAGATGATTGATCGTATCTTGTACATTTAAATTGACCAAAAAAAAGATACAATTCTTATATTGTTGTGTAACTGTAAATATGTTTAAAAAAATTCGTACACAAATCCCAATAAAATTGTAATAAAGATTATGTAATCATCATCTCATGGTCGATGCGACGCGATTCTGAATGGACATAAGACCGATGATGTTTCGCAATATTGATGATCTCGGAACACGATGATCGAAGGTTTCCACAGGTCGGGGACATCTAACAATTCGCGATCCATCGCGCATGCGCACACGCTGGTCCTGTCTACCTACGACGGATTCTGGCGAGCGGCGCAGCAAGTGTAAAGTGTAACCAGTCCTGGACGGACGGTCAATCCGGTGCCTCGTTCTCTCGATCAAGATCGATCGATTGGATTTGTCGCGTGAGCAAAGTCATCGGGAAGAAAACAAATCGAGAGAAAAAAAGTGATTTAGCCGGTGTGCGAATTTTGGATTACCCTTTCTCGCGAGGTAACAAAATAGTCAGTGTTTTGTAATATTTCTAAAGTTTACAGATATAAACTGAAAACTCTTGTTGATGCAAATTTAATTTTCTTAATTTAGATTTATTTAATATAACGTAGATAATTTGCAAATGTACCAATAATGCAAAAAATTGTCAAATTGTCTAAAAAAAATATTATATATTTACAATAAATTTAAAGATACTTATAAAGAAATTGATAACAGATTTTTATGCATATCAGATTAAATATGGCAAGAAATTAAAAATTCAAAGTATTGCACGCAGAGATTAAAAGGCTATAAATTAAAATCACACTTAAAGCATAAATAATAAAAAAATTACTCAAATAATATAGATGTAACTTCCCATACAGCACACAAGTTTGCAGCAATATTGCAACAACATTGCAATATTGCAATGTTGTTGTTGCAATATTGCAATAACATTGCAATATTGCTGCAAACTTGTGTGCTGTATGGGTTCATTGTATATATATATAAATGAATTAAATATATTTTACTAATTAACAAAAACCGATAAATTAGCAATGTCAAAATTGAAAATTAATATTAATTAACTTAGCATAGAGCTTCTCTATGTAACATATTTATTTCTTTTATGTTACACCGCGTTATCACAACCCTATGTAAGTAATTAATCTTCCGTCACTGAAAAAACCTCGGTGGTTTTGAATGAATGACTCCAAACAGTGAGCGTCATTATACTACACATGTCATTGGTTAACATGCGATGATTCCTGACATTGCCAGGTTAAAAAAAGTTTATTCCCAGTCGGAAATTGTTCATAAGTCTTGTCGCGACTTATTATAGCGCAGAATAATTTAATAAAAAGTCACGCGTTAAGAGCTGCATTACGTATTATATATATACTGAAAGACTATTTATAAGTTTTATAGAGATTATTAAATTATTATGTAAAGTATCACTCTTACATCAGCAATTTTCAAGTAATTTGCGAGCAAATAAAATATATGTAATTGAACAATGTATTCATATGTTTTATTTATTTTTAAAACATAATATAATCTTTTTCCAAAATTTGTCGTTGTTTTACATATTTTTTGTGAATTAGAATTCTGCGGTTATTTTATAATTTTGCAAAATAAATATGTCACTTTTTAACTTAATTTTTTGTCATTATCGAATGATTTTATTTTACAAGAGAGCATTTTCTCTGTATGAAATTGAAGTTCTGAAATGCGACAGTTTATATGGAACAATCTGATATTAATTACAAGTCTGTAATGCAAGATTGTGATTTGTCTCTTCAAGTGTACGTAATACAGTAAGTAGATGATCGAAGATAGAGAAGGAAGGTCAAATTCCACTTTCCATCTTCGCAGATCTCTCAACCATGTTAGGTGCGTTTTAAAGACCGCTCGGAATAAATATCGGTATGCATAATTCATGCGTCACTACAGACATTACAATCTTCATTAAGATCTTCATAAACCATACATAAAACATAAAAATAACAATTAATAATAAATTAAAACTCTTTGACATATTGCAATATTTTATCTGAGTCGTAAGCGATCATCTCACCTTTGACACAATTACTAATTTAATTAAAAGAGAAGCTATAGTGCAAATTTTATGTGTGTTGAAATTTAAAACAGAATAATAATTTTTGGAACTTTTTTGGTTTTATATAACTCTGTTTCTCCTCCATCGACACTACTCGACCTACGATATATTATTACACGAGCAGATTTATAAAAGAAAAATAAATGAAACAAATTTGCAGCTGAGCTAAGAAAAAAAGGGGTCGCCATGCAACGAAAGTAGAAGCAAAAATAGGCGCAAAGCCAAAAACATATTGGCCCGCGGTTTATAATACTCACATCGTTGGGTTGGCATGCCAAAAATAAACATCGATATATCTTTCAGTGAGTTTTTTTACGATGTCGCGTAAAGCGATAAATTTGATAAAAAAAACTTTTATCCCCAAAATATTGTTCAACGTCAAAATTCTGTGCGTGTATCTCGTGCATATGTGTATGTTGAGATAAATTTTATATAGAAAAAATATGGTCCAAATACATCCGCTCTTTTTATTGTTTTTGTACGTCAAATTATAACGAATTACGAGCGGTGCGATTACACAGCTGCCTGAAAACGGTTAATGACAGTCACGTGTACAAATTTTATCTTGGCACTGTGCACGCGCCAAGATTCACGCTTCGTTTACGAAACGTTTGCAAAATAGCTATATTACTAATTAAACAAAAAATCGAAAATATCATTAAAATGCCGTTAAAAATTTATTGCCCGTGTAAAATGTGCCGACAGCAGGAAATCTATTGAGAAACGGAAAAAAGATGAGTTATATTTAAACAGGTTAAACAAAGAACGGAGAATATAGTGACGGACAAAGACGGAGATGAGAAAGAGAGAGAGAGGAAATGAGATTCTGGGCGCCAGTTGGCTGGACCACCGCCACCCACGTAATGTCAAATGTCGCCCATTAAATATGCACGGGAGAGATTGGGGTTTCGTTTTTTTTCTCTTTTCTTTTGAATACATGCTTATGTAACGTTAATAAACGACTGGCGCAATTTGTCAAAGTTAATAATGTCCCGTGATAAGTTTGCCGAATGTCAAACATTTTTTTAACACCTTCCTCGAATTCGCTATTTTATAACGAAATCCTTAAATAGAAAAGAAAAATGTATGAAAGTGTATATAGTAAACAGTGTGTTGCATCTTTTATACTTCTCTGTATTTATGTAAAATATATTTAAAATTCATAATTTAAAAAATTGATTATATTTGAAAAAATATTGATATTATTAACGAATTGCATTTTTCTTTCTGCTGTGTTAATTACACAGAATTGATAAAAACATTCGATATTATTTGATAAGCTCACATGGTTGAATTGATCAAGACCATTAAGATGAATACATATAAAACTTTTATGTGACTTTTCGTTCGTGCAATAGTCATATCTTATAAGAAGTATCGGACACGCGAGAATTTCTCATTGAATCTCGAGAACTCTAATAATCGTTCACGCACGTAATCAGTGGTAATATCATGTTTCAATTACGTTCGAGTTACCAGATCGAAATTATGTTGCTCAAGAATTTAAATCGGTACTTTCAATCAAGTCTTGTAATTTATAAGATGATAACTTCTCTCACGCACTCGTGCACGCAGACACAAATAATACGGATGTAATAAAAATTATTTAATAGTAATTATTTAAACATAAATTAGCTCCCGTAGATAAATATCATTTAAAAATAATTTTTTATTTATAAATTATGCATATATCCATATTTAATCTCATATAAAATAAAATAATATTATATTTTTTGATATTGCAAAATTAAATAATATAAAATACTGAAATAAACTTTCTCGCAAATATAATAAAACTTTTTTGACACAGCATTGATAAAAATTAAGTATAATAACTGCAAAAATAAATGAATTTTTACAGACAATTATTTGCATTAGTTTTCTTTCCAACAGGTTCTGACAACTACAAGGAAGATTTAAAAAATGAACTTTTATAATACTTTTGATCATTGTCATCAATTTTCTCAATATTTTCAACATTCAATGAATATTACCGAAACATGTCACAGGCCTTTTGAAATTCGATGAATACGAAATGAGAGGAAATCATTCATATGAGACCTATAATATCGATGCTTTACAGTCGTTTGCGCAATTGCGTTGTGAATGCAAATACAAAACTTTCTCCCGTTGACACAGACATGTAATCTTGCAATGTTTATATGTTTTCGTTGTCTCAAGTATGTCGAATAAATATGACACGGTAATCGATGTGTGATTCTATAATTAACAACATCAGGTATCATCAGACCATCATTATGCAACACACGTGTCTTCGCGTAGTATGTTGTAACATAGAATAGTGTATTCATAGTGCAGGATTCTAGAATATACTACAGCAGTAGTAACGACGTAACGTAATTACACAGTATTTACGTTGCTCTTCTCTCTGTCCAAGTCTAGCTTTCTACAACCAGCTACTAGCTTCGACCTTCGGTTCCTTCTCAGCCAAAGCTTGACAATTAACTGAATGAAAGCTTTAAGAGCCTTCTCATGTTGCATGTAGTAAATACAATCCCCCCACTCAAGTGTTCATTGACTTCGTATTATTAAGACAAATTGTAAATAAATAATATTTACATTTCAATCCATTAATTATGTCTATACGATTTTCTTTTGTCCCGAGAATACACTTGCTTTATTCGACAAAGTTTTCAACGAAAAGATATAAGATGCAACATCCGCGTATCTCCAACAATTTAAATCTCCATGTAAAAAAATATTACCATATTTAATCTCTCGTAATGCACACGTATACATTAACTTTGTGATATGATTTAAAGGGAAAAAGAACTGTGTTCCGGTCGACAAAAAAAAGGAGCGTATAAATTTTCTGGGAGATCATATCGCGTGGACCAAAGGCTGAATATAATTTCTCGCAGTATGAACGATCCTTCTTCCGTTTCTTTTCTCCTCGCAGCTTCCTCAAGTGTTCAAATGAGACGAAAGTGATTGCGCAAGATTCGCGATCAGTAACGCGCAGGTGCTGCGCTGTGAAATTATTACACTCGTGATTTTCTCCCTCAGTGAGCGAAAAATACACTCGTACGTATGCAAATTAAATTATCGCAATGAAGAAAAAAAATGACAACATTCCACGTGAGTGAAAGTCCCGCCATACTCTTATCATATAGAGGATTTACTAACTTAGAGATACGATTAGGTAGACTTTGTTCGAATTGCAGTCATCATTTCGATTGACACGATGACCTTGGAGGGCGCGGTAGCAATGTCAATGATGATCTGCTTAAAGCAGTTGCATCGCTTCAATGGCGTAACTTAACTGCATCCGACAATTACACAAATTCTCCTAATTCGGGCTTCCAAACGCGTTGTTTGAAGTTTGTGATCGTTTTATCACTCTAGTCTCTTATCAGTTCTCCATATACGCGTCTTGTTAATAATGCGCGTTTAAAATGTATTTTTATTATTATTTAAAAAAATAATTTTATCGTACGATTTTTTTCTCGATCAAATAACTCGCTCAAATTTTAATTACGCCACTGCAATCGATACTGCTCATTCGAGCTGATCAAGTAGTTATGTGTGCTCTATATTAAGCCGAGAATGACGCGGCATACTTTGAAGTCAACTCGCCATCTGAAAGTAAAATTATACGATAAGATTCCTGAATGACACAGATTTTTTATTACGTCTTTTATAGCTCCCGATTTCTTGCACAAGTCTATTCAACTATTAAAATTATATTTGTGTCATACTTATAGATAATACATACAAATATAACTGATAATATTGTAATAAAAATACACCAGCAAAATTAATAATAAATAATATAATTCTTAAATTTCTAGGCATACTAATATAATTTTTATTAATATACAATGTATATTAATATAAAACGTATACATATAAATCAACATTAAAATTACTTTGCATGGAGATTTAATATTATTATATTGCAGTAATTATATACAACTCGAGCGAATTATTCGAGTAAAGAGAAAAATCGTACGATAAAATGATTTTTATGAATTATTATTATATTGGTAATATGCTGGAAAATAATGTTACAAGGTTCGACTTGAAAGTAATATGTATTCATCGTATATTGTGTTTTAGCTGGGAGTAATCTATCTTTAATGGTAATCTTGAGAAACATGTGTATACAGCTCAAGTGCCGTGTCATTAATAACTCGTAAGTCATAATCAAGGCAGCGATATTCGTCGCGGGGGCACAATACACGTAATTGACCTTGATCTGTATTCATCTGTCCTTGGACCGCTTCGCCCAAACTTGTTTTCAATAAAAAAGAGTCTGTCATTGTCGAGCTAACTTATTGTTAGATCGAGACGCTCTTTCTCTTTTACACCACGAGTAATCATATATTACTCAAATAAAAGTCGGAGGAATAGGAGTTGGAAAATTTACGTGTATTTCGAGATTTTAGGGGCCCCTCATACGAACCTCTTTAGCTGCCGATTCTTGGAAGGTCTCCTTGGCCCGATGGCCTCATTCGCATTGATGCCTCCTCCTCCACCGGAATAAATACAAGACTACTTGGCACTTCCGCCGAATTAGTTTCCAGGCTCATCTCTTAATCCAGTTTCATGTATATTTTAAACATAATAGATCAGTTTCTGCGAGACTCCCGACAATGCATTACGATATATTTGTAATAATATGGAACGCCAGCGCAACAAAATCATTCAAGTCACATATGTGACAAATTTCAAGTCTTTCCTCTAATATATTTTGTCAAATGGCCAAATAATACGTTTGAAGAAATTGCTTTTACGAGCGAGACAAAAAGCGTGCATGCGCGACGGAAATCATGAAACTACACCCACACTCGAGCCTAAAAGTGGCCGTTCTGGCTCGCGAGTGTTTGCGCTTGTCCATAAACCGGCTTCGAGTGGCGAGTGCGAAAGTTTCTGCGAAAGTCTGTAGAGATCCGAATATCTGTGTGTGAATATCAATTCTATTTATAACTGCAGACGTCTATAAGTAGCGCGGATGTTGCAAGAAATATCTATCCACCCTCGTTACTCGGTACCAAGGATTATTATTTAAGAGATCGATTCGATGAAAGAAGAAAAATGATGACGATGAAATTAATCGGAATGTCGAAAAATCCAACACCTCGACGTTACGTCTACTTATAGATTTCGTGAGGCAGGGCTTTAGAACAACACAATGTCGGCAGCTGTAAGAGAGCGGACGACGACGCACACCAGCAGGAAGCTCGTGACTCATGGCGGTCCTATATCTGGCCAGAGAGACGGAGCAGCTACGGCTAGCAGCCTCGAAAACAACTTGGGTAAACCTTTAAATGTGCCACCGGAGATGTGTAACCCTATCTACCCGTTGTTCTCTTTTCCCGAGTCCGCTCTTTTATTCGCGCTCTTCTCATATTTGCAAGTCTTGACAAATAAATGAGCTACGAACACAATTCATCAAATTTTTAACGACACAACTACTTTCACTTTGCCTACTGATCGATATAAATTGATATTCCTAATAATACATACATTTCTCATATTCGCAAGTCCTGTCAAATAAATTAGCTACGATTCATCAATTTTTTAAGGACACAACTACCTTGAGTTCTCCTACTGATCGACATAAACTGACATAATATGTATTGAAATTTAGTGTGGTATCGCCAGTAGAAAATTTTCATTTTAATTTATTTAATTGACCAAAACTGGCATCACTTTATTGTATGAAAAATTACATAACGTTTTAACCACTGCTTGTGGTCCTTATCAAATGTAGATAGAATCAAATCATTGGTGATTGCAAATTTAACAGAGATTAAACATTTTTCATGTCGGTTAACTTGACAGACGAAACGAACGATTGTTGTAAGTGTCAAAATTAATACATCTTTGATTCTATCTACATTTGATAAGGACCACAAGAAACGTTATGTATAACTTTTCATACAATAAAGTGATACCAGTTTTGGTCAACTAAATAAATTAAAATTCTTGATAAAATATTGATTTGCATATTAATGTAAATACGATACGATAGCTTAATGAGCAATAATATTTTAGTGACGTCTGTATTTGTATATAATTGTCTGTATTATCTACTCGGATTCGCGTTCTCTCGGCTTCACTATTCATTACTTCATGCCTCGTTAAAGCAGGGTGAATGACGACATGTTAAATTGGTTCGTTTGGCTCTTTCAGACGCACTTCTCGAGGATCTACAGACGAGTGTCTCGAGAAGTGCCACTCCTAGTCGAGACAGAGCACTCGCACCCCAAGTCGAATATCGGGTAGCTGCCAACCCTATTAGAGTATTCTCCGAGGGAGGCAGGTGAGAGGACAAAGTAGTGCGAATTAGACGATAATTTGAACAATTAACGCGTCTCTGCTCTGTTATACTTTTTATATCAAAAATATAGATAGAAAAAATATTCAGATTTTTAAAAACATTATTTTTAGACCTATATCTCCAAATCGTTCAAAGGTGACTACCACTGAAAAATTTGTGAGCACTGGACCAACCGGCACGTCTAGCGGCATCCCGGGATTAGAATTTCTAGACGAGGAACTGAAAGACGTAAGTTTTCTAATTAAAATAATGCATGTCATTAAAACTACAATTCTATCATGAGCGCAATATTCAATAATTATAATGACTGAAAAACAATGTAATTACTCGCATATTAATTTAAAACTCTGCTAGATTTTTACAATATTTCATTTTAAAAAAATTATATAAATCTTTCGAAAAGAGTTTAGACAAAAAATTCATTTGTATGTATCATTTAATTTTACTTTTAATATTGCGTTGTTATTTACCGGGAAAACAAATTCGATCACTTAAAGAATGATAAAATGCATGTAATATAAGCGTCTAGAGTATGATTTGTGGTGATTATGGTTCTTTTTATTACTTGGTATAAATATTAGCCCGAGGATAAAATCTAGAAGCAGGAAAGAATTATAATCTCGACACACGTCGCATGAAATTACATAGACATCAATGGCGCCGGTTCTTGCATAAAAAAATGCGTACCGTGATCAATGCATGCAAGAAACTAGTTTCGCATACCATCATATGTGCCGAGATTACTAAATATGCTATATTAAACAGAAAATCACCATTTGATGCTAATTAAGTGAAGTTATATTTAAATAATCGGCTCCAGTAAGCAGAAAATAAAAATTCGATTAATAAAAACTGTATTATTTCAGTAACATAACAAAATGTCGAAAATATTTCGTCTTAATTAAATTAGAAGATTTTATCTCTTAATTTTGAATATTTCGAAAAAATTGCAATCTTAGGTCCATTGTACAAAATCATCAATTGTACAAATATCAATTAATCATATCAAAACATGAGCATATAGATAATCTACAGTGATAAAATGTGAATAAATAGATACTCGATGATATATAATATTATCATTAATAACTTGTATAACATGTGTCTCTCATTATCATTTTCCACCAATATTGTTATTAACAAAGATTTTATCTGCCATACTGTATAAATGAAGCAGATTTTTTTTCATCATAAACTATTGATCATTTTTCTGTTAACACCCACATAATGGGTTTTACGCGTTCCGCTGGAGTTCCAATTATACGCCACGCAGATTGCATCGTTTATGTATTCGCCCCGAGGTGCAAGTGCCGTGTCGGTGCATCTAACGAACGTTTAATGTTGGCCTCGTCGTTGCGTTAGAAGGATGAAAAGAGAGACCGCGGGGGAATAAATGAGATCACACTTATACTTGAAACCGCGAAGTAATCAACGCGTCTCGTGTCACATCCCCGAACATTCGAACAAGAAGAAGAAGGAAGAGCTAACGCTAAGAACAAAAATAGATATACCGTATAATTTCATTACATAGTCGCGCGGGCGACTAACTAACTTGTCCAAGCCAAATCACGATTGTCTGACAATCCTTTCACTCTTGCATTTATTTGTCGACCTTCACGCGAAACTTTAAAAAATACTTAATATGCAAAAAAATATAAGATGTTGTAAATTGAAAATTTTTTCGTTTTCTTTTAATACATCGCACATGAAAAATAAATGAGATAATTAAAATGCAAAGTAAAACGCTATTAGTTTTTCGACATGTATGATGGTACAAAGATAATAGCAGAGTGATAATTTGCATTCTAAATTGCATAGTCGAGCGTGAATATTTTCTAAGAGGCTTCTAAAAAACAAGAATAACGATATGTTTCTCGCGCATTCTCGATTTACTCGATCGTATATAGTCTGGGAAGAGAGAAACGCGTTGTAAAACGACTATGCTTTGCTCCGTAAAGATTTTCCGGACTGCCTCATAGTAATAATACTGCTATTTTACGCGATATATTAAACATTAGAAAATCACATTGAGGAGGATCGGACCGGAGAGATGATTGCAACCTTCGCCGATCATACGCCTTATAATCCGACATCCGATGAAAATAAATTGGTTTGCTCGTGCTCCTTTGCACACACGCTAACCGGATGTATCTTCGAGCTAACGGGCTCTTAAGATCTCTAAACGATTCTGTCTATCGTCATACGTAAAACGATAAAATGTATAATAAGATCTATAAAATTTCTACACGTGTTACTCGTATCATTTCGCTGTTTCTGGCAGAATTCGCTATTAATTTAATGATGATGACAAATAGTGCAAAGTGGCAAATTAAGTTTCTAAAAAGCACACGGAGGGAATTTTCTCTTAGAATTTATCCTGAAATTCGTGGTAAACGCAAGACAATATTCGAAGATTTTTTTTTAATATTAATATCCCCACAATAAGATATAAAATATATGTTGGATTAATTTTACTAAAACATTTATAGCAATATTTCAATAATTTTAAAATATTTGAAAAACTTATTCTTTAAGTATTTTAATTAAAATAAATGATGTCAAAAAGTGATAAACATATAAAATATTTTATATAAATTTTACAATGAAGTATGCTATTTTCAATTTTAGCTTATAATCTTTCATGATAATTTGAACATGCAGCATTATTATCAAACATGATAAAATTATTAGTGAACTTTGTGGTAAAATATAAGGAAAAAAATCTCTTCACGAAGCACAAAAAATAAGATGTTTGTCGTAATACACTTGGATGACGTTAGCTTTTTCTGCATAGCTGCAGAATTGAAACACAATCATCGTTCCGCGGAATTTGAATGCTGTTACCGATCCGCCCATGCATTTTACGCAGGATACTCGTAATGAGAGTCTTATAAGGAGAGTCCCAGTGCTGACACTGCCCACGCATTGCTCGCACTAATTTCTTACGATTGGATCGCGATGCTGAGCATAATGAGGGATGGCCTGAATGCCTACGCACATTCATATGAGAGATTCCGTTCCATAACATTCTCTCTTGTTTATTCGCAGGTCCAACCCGGTCAGAGCAAAACGATAGCGTACAAACAGGTGTCGTATCAATACAACAAGGACTTGGACGGGAAACCAGGTGAGAAAGTCTATACATTAAATATTGAACTAGAAAAGAATCTCAAGATCCCTTGAGACAGGCAACACGTTGATCGCGTCTCGGGATCGTGAACGCGAAGCGATGGCGGAAGGTAGGGAGCCGGTTGCTCGTGTCGCGCCTTTTAAGGCGCGTGACGGCCTTGCCTGGTTTACGGTTAATTGATAATGAAAAAAGTCAAGCGGATCTCTCTCTTTCTTTCTCGCAGATTTGTGCGCTATACATGATCTTCGATGCAATTCCAGTTATATCTCGCGCAGAGTATTGGCGAGATCGCACCTGAAGATCGAGAATGCGAACCTTACCTTATGATCTCTCGAAAGAGGACAAAAATTAAAATCGAGCTCCCCAAAGAAAATTTGAGCCTCTAATTTTTAGGAAATTTGGTAAACATATTTCGAATAATTTAATACGGCTACATGCAAGCATTTTTATATAAATTAAGTCTGCAAAGAGTATTATTGGCAAGATCGTACTTGAAGATCGAGAATGCGAACCTTACCTTATTGTAATCTTCCTGATGATGATCTCTCGAAAGAGAAAAAAAGTTTCCCCGGAAAAAATTTGAGCCTTTAATTTTTATAAAATTTGATAGACATTTCGAATAATTTAATACGGCTACATATGTAAGCATTTTTTATGTAAATTAAGTTTTCAGAGTATTGGCGAGATCACACCTGAAGATTGAGAATACAAACTTTATTTTATGATCTCTCGAAAGAGGGAAAAAATAGGAATCAAGTTCCTTCGAAAATAATTTGAGCCTCCAATTTTTATAAAATTTGGTAGACATATTTTGAATAATTTAATACGGCTATATATAAACATATTTTTATGTAAATTAAGTTTGCAAAGAGTATTAGTGAGATCACACCTGAAGATCGAGAATGCAAACTTTATTTTATGATCTCTCGAAAGAGGGAAAAAATAAAAATCAAGTTCCTTCGAAAATAATTTGAGCCTCCAATTTTTATAAAATTTGGTAGACATATTTTGAATAATTTAATACGGCTATATATAAACATATTTTTATGTAAATTAAGTTTGCAAAGAGTATTAGTGAGATCACACCTGAAGATCGAGAATGCAAACTTTATTTTATGATCTCTCGAAAGAGGAAAAAAATAAAAATCAAGTTCCTTCGAAAATAATTTGAGCCTCCAATTTTTATAAAATTTGGTAGACATATTTTGAATAATTTAATACGGCTACATATAAACATATTTTTATGTAAATTAAGTTTGCAAAGAGTATTAGTGAGATCGCATAAATATCGAAAATGCAAACTTTATCTTCCGATCTCTCTGATTGATCTCTTGAAAGAAAAAAAAATAAAGATTAAATTCCCCGAAGAAAATTTAAACCGCTAATTTTTATAAAATTTAGTAAACATTTTAAAATATGACATGTAAGCATTTTTGACGTAAATTAAATTTGATAGAATTGATGTTGAAATAATGGATAAAAATGTTTATAAATTAAAAAAGAGAGTTGCGCAAAACACGCATGCAAATATTTATCGTTTGTTATTCGTCAAATTTTATGAAAATTTGAAAAAAAATCTTTGGAACTTTACTTACCTCTATTATAAAGAAGTCTGATGTGGGAGCGAAAAAGTTCTCCTTGTGATTCTGTATTTGGCAAAGATATGGTCGTAGTTCATGTTCTTCGTGGTCACACATAAGCGTAGCCATATTAGGACCGCTTATAACAGAAGGTTGACCCGATTTCTTCTTACCTCCGTTGTTCTCTTGAAAAAAAAGAAAGAATGAGGAATAAAGGAGAAAAAGGACAGGGACGATAAAGAGATAAAGTAAAAGGTAGACACATTATACTGGAAGGACAAAAATGATTATCATTGGATCAGTAGGTGAAAATATTCGTGGACCAGAAATATATCATTGTTAACTACCTTAAATTTATTGCTAAAATAGTTGGCGTTATAAAATTTTATAAAATTAAAATCGATAATTACTGCAGCTCTTATACGTGACATTTCATGATTGTTCAAATGCTAAGTATACTTAGACTGAAAAGTATTTATAAAATTTTCGATCACATCATTTTCCTGGAAAAAACATCGCACTGTTCAATCGCAATGTGGTAACGTCATTAAATGATTCATTGTGTTTCAGATTCGTGGGCCATATCAGAAAACAAACGGCCTGGCGCGCCCTTGATGTAAGTATAAAGTTCTACCTCATAAGTCCCAAAATATCACTGGTTTCTGAAGAAATGCCAAACGACTTGGTTGCGCAGAGCACTCTTTCCATAAAAATAAAAATAAAAATGCATATTTCTTTTCCGATTGTGTTTAATAATTCACGCACATTCAAAAGAAATTTATCGCAGACATAATACAAAGAAAAGCTTTTTTATCACTATACTAAAATTTACATGTATGAAAAGAGTTTATATGTTTACAGTGACGACATCCATGAAACTTCTTACGAGGAAACTAAGACTCCAGCTTTATCTACATATCAAAGTCCAGAACCGATTATTAAAAAATCAGTGGTCAACAGAGAACTGGTAACTAAAAGAGTATATTAAATAAAGCGTAAAAATTTAGCATGTGATATTAGCACTTTAACAGCGATGTGTAACTGTATCTATCAGATCTATGGCGACAGTTCAACGTCTCATTCGAAACAAACCTCTCCTCTGTCAGGAACTCAGAGGGATGTCAAGTACATCCAAGAAACTAGTACGTACATGTTATAAATTATCTACAAAAAAACTATATACATAATATATATCTGAATGTTGACAATGGCATCAAACAAATAAAATTCTTCGCTTCTGCAAGGTTCCTACCAAGCTGATCCACGATCGACTCAAAGCGTAACTACAGTACGCACGAGTACACCGCAAGAATACAAAACTATCGAATACGTGTCGACGCCAAGTCCGGCGATACCGATCAACCTGCAACCAGGTCCAAACACGAAGGTAACCACCACGATCAAGACGTACACGTACGAATTGCCAGGATCGCCGGAAACCTATTTACCAGGTGGCAGTGTGCCAAGGGGAAACGTTGTGCTGCCCGGTGATCAAACTATCACGTACACCTTACCAGGGAGAAGCAGCACAACTGCAACTACTGACAAGACGGTCACCTATCAAACCGTGACGGAGAATGTACCTCCCGATCCCCCGGTCAGATACAATAGCCCGACGTCGACCGATGTCACCGAGAAGTCCACGACCATTCATAAGGAGGCGAAATTCTATCGCGAGGAACTTCTCGACGATCGTCCCGGTTGGAAGCCTTCCAACGTTTACCAACGCAACGCGCCAACGCCAACAAATCTGGAGACCAAGACCACCGTGACCGAGAAGTACTACCAGGTCGACGATAATTATCCCAACGGTCACGGACCGGTCGATCGTCCGGATTATCCCAGGATATATCAGAATCAACCTCCTACCGTTGAACACACCAAGAGCATCAAACGGATCGAGGAGTACAGATCGGACAGGCATCCGACGTCCGATAAATCGGACAAAGTGACGACGACGGCTTATTGGGGTCCACCCAATACGACGATTTACAAATTCTCGAATACTACGACGACGGTACCGCCGGGCAAGAATGCGGATGATCACGAGGTCCTCCTGCCGAAACCGTTTCCGACCGGTGTCCAAATGTATCCCACTAAGCCAACCAGCAACGGCGAAGGACCACCGGCAAAACTCGAAGACCTCATGGCTTCCTTCTCCGACTCTGAGGTAAAGTAATTCATGTTAATCATATAATTGTATATTATAATTGGAAATATATTAATTATATAATTATAAAGAGTAATGCGTTATAATTATTTGCCGAACGATAATAAGAGTTTCTATATAATATTTTATCTTGTGTATTCAGCGTGAAGTATTGGAGGATATAGAGAGGCAAGAACGTCAGAATATCAAAGGATCATCATCCAAGAAGAAAGAAGTCGATTTTATCCCGCATACTCCGCCGAAGGTCAAAAGCAAGAATGTTGCCGGCCCACCGGTCTATTATCCTCCTGGCTCGGCAGAATTCACCAAGAAGGAAGAATCTAGTGCAGCCATGTCGCAAGCTAGTGTAAGTTAATATATTATACAATACAGAATGATCCCAAATTTGATATAAAATTATTCTAATAAACATTGAAAAGACAAAATTATATATAAATATTATATTATACAATAATAATTCAGCAATCACTCTTCAGACCAGAAATGATGAGCACTTTCATTATCCAAATTTTAATTCATTGTTACATTGCAATGTTACTTATCAATCGGTCTAGAGTCTAGAGAAAAAATGCATTTTCTTAGTTTCCTGTATTTCTAAAAGAAAGAGTTTCTTAATTGATGCTTGATTTTAATTAATTATTATTTGCACCATTTTTCAGGGAGGATGGCAAAAGGCAAGCGGAAAGTATGAATATGAGGCTTCTAGCAAAAGCAAAACCAAAACCAGCAAGGGAGGTGCAGTCGTCCCAGTTTGCCTGCCGTTATGCTGCGCATTGCCATGCGTTATTATGTAATTTAATTTTTGCATTAACATATATATATTAATTAAGCACATAATACGGTCTGAAACATCTAATATCACAATATAATAAAGAAAAATATAGCCTGCAACAGATAAGAACAAGAATTAAATACAAAACTATACATAGTTTATGTTTAGAGCACGTTATAAGTTCTTTTTTTTATATTTTTTGTCACTAATAAGTACAGCCATTTAAATTACATATTCTGCTTTTTTCTTTCGAGATCTAAACATATATATATACATGTCTTTTAGTTTTCTTATTTTAAATATAAAAAATGCGACTGAAAGGCACAGACAAATATGTATATGTGTTAATATAACATATGACAAAATTACATATATAATAAGCAAATAATCAAACAAACTTATCATAAAAGAGTAGTTTTATGTATTAACATACTTAGACACCCAGACAGCACTAAATTATTTTTAAAAGATGACTTAAAGGTGATATTTAAAAAAAACAATAATTTTAGAAACGTTTAATATCTTTTAGAAATCTTTCGTCGAAAAAGTAACTCGAAAGACATCTTTTTGTCCTCTTTGTTTTTTATGCTGTTTGGATATATACTTTGTAATAACAAGTGTTTCCAAGTTATATTTATTTATATAATTATTATTGTTCTAAGTCTTAATTATCTCCTTCAATGGCAAATTAATGAATTTTTGGAATGTGCTGCAATGTAAAATTTGCTATTATAATATAAATAAAAAATTAAAATTAATAGTATGATGCACAATAGATTTTTTAATTAATTATAATTTTTATTAATATATTTTTGTATTTTTATTTATATTGCCTGTTATTACGCAAATAAATTATGTCTATATATAACACTAATTGTAAGCTTCATTCAAATTGTAAAATTAGAGTTGTTTTTTTGCAAAATAAATATTAAAATTTGTTACAAATAAGAAATATTATTAATGCTATTTTATGAGATACTACTACTTAAAAGTTTTTTTATCAATCTCAAATTACTTTTTCCAAAAAATATTAAAAATATGTATGAAGCGAACAAATCATGACAATAAGTTAAATATTGTAACAAGTAGGATAAATAATTTTTAATTATATTGTACTACCGTGAATTATGGTGCTATAATAATTTTAGTATTAAAACCAGTTATGTAAATGAAAAATATATCATTGCAAACACAGTTATGTATATCCCTCTCTGTCTCTGAATATAAATATTATTTGTAATTATATGTAAAAAAAATTGTGTCATATAACATGTGTTGCATATGTGTTAATACGTATGATAATAATAGACTGTATTTTAATAAATTCGATATTTTTAAACAATAATATTTATCCACTCATGCTCACTTTTATGCATTCTCTCTTCAGAACATGTCTTTTTAATAAAAATAAACTGCATAAACTATAGCCATGCAGAATATAGTATCCTGAAAAACAACATGCAATTAACCGTGAAAAAATATATATAAGTATCAAATTATGACAATAGGTGAAAGATGTAAGGTGTATCCTTACATTGATAAAACTATCATAAGCGTATGTATCAGCTTCTGCATCCCAAATGCATCTTGTGCCTATTTTTACACCAGCACCATGTTGCTGTCCCAAAACCACATTGACAATATATTTATATCTTTTGAACTGTAAGTCTATAAAACATATGAGAAAAAAAAATACATAGAATGAAATATTTACCATAAAACTTTAAATATAATAATAAATGTAAGTAATTCATAAATATGCAAGAAAAGCAAATATTACCTTTGATTCTTCTTTCAATAACATCTGCTATATCTTTGGTCCATTGAGCAGCTGCCTGAGCATCATATGATTTTGTTGCAAGTTGATCAAATAATACATCATGTATTATCTCTTTTGCACTTAAAGGTTTAAATCTGTATTAAAAATATTTCCATGTTATTTTAATTAAACTTAGAAAAGAACATTGACTATCAATAATGTAATTATTTAAAAATAGCTAATTTAATAAGACTGATCTATTTATCTTTCAAATCATATTGTATATATATCATTATTACATATAATATTGTATATTATTATTATTATTATTATATATTATTATATAATATCCTTTTTTATTTATATATTATATTATATTATTGGTATAAGAAATAATCGTATCTCTTGATCTCTTAATAAACCGGCTTACTTTTCGTGAAGAGGCGGTCGAATTTGATAAACTTGTTGCTGAGCTGTTTCCTCGACATCTTCGAGGACCTCCAAATTTACATCCTTCTTTTCCTTCTCCTGTGCTATATCCACTGCCTCTTGTACCGGGTTACGTTTCACAGAATGCGTTGCTCGCTTTCCCTCTGCCATTTATGATAGATGACCGTCAGTTGTCAGCGCTGACAGTACTGAAAAATTATTTATGTATTCTTTTTATATTCATATATAATTATTGATAAAACAAAATAGCTTGGATCCACACACACTAATTATCTATAAGAATGTCATTCAAGTTTGTTTGTCAATAAAGTCAACCATGTTGATGACAAACACCAACAAACCAAACTGACACATACATGTTTACGTATATATATGTATTCTGTATGTAATAAATCAATAAACTTCTGTCCTTTTACTTACGTACATGACGTATATATGACAGGATAGTTATAAGCATTATTTTTATTTAATTATCATTTTTTAAACAAGTAGATGTGCAGCTGATTATCAGAAAAAGTTTAAAAAACAAGAAAAATATTCTTTCAGAGTGCGTTCAAAAATCCTACACGTGAGCTACAGAAACATTCAATTGACCAATCAAGATAAAAGATTTCTTTGTCCGGATTGGTCAAATAAATTCTACCCCACGAATAGGATTTCTGAACACATCTTTATAAGTGAGTGTAACATTCTAACCTATTATATAACTAAAATCTATTGAACTTGTAACATATAAATAAATGATATACATATAGTATATAATAACGTTAGTAATAATTATTTATTAACACAAACATAGACTTTATACGATTTGTTGAGAAAGTAATATTTTTTTATATTAAAGGTTTCTGGAGAAGGATTCATCAGAATTAGAAAAGTTGATCTAAACCAGCACTTTATGCAGCTAGTATTTTTCTAAAGTGTTTAGCCTTCTGGAGGAAGAAAACAGAGCTATTTAAAGCTGAGCTCTATTTCAATTTGGTATACATATTTATAAATGGGTGAATAAATCAATGTAAATATTTATATGCATGTATGCATGTAATTTTAACTAATTATAATTATAAAATGTGATAAAAAAATCACAAAGCATGACTATTTTCTAAAATATCTTGGCGACTTTAGTTTCAAGATTTGAAATTGCTACAATGCATAATTAAAAAATACTAGTTATATTTTATGTTAACTTGCAATATAAGAAAATTAAAATTGCAATTGTTATGAAAGAAAAATTATTGTAAAAAAATGTTTCTTTTTAAAACATTGATAACTTATTAAAAACATAATTTCTATATAATAGATTGTTAATGTGTAATCTATAGCCTGTACTATTTATTTAAGATGTGCAATAAATAAAAAATTAAATGCTATACTTAATTTTCGATAATTACACAATGATTATGTATATACCAGTTTAATTTATTGAAATCCAGACAATTCTGTGGTAGAAGGAAAGAAAGAACGTAATACCTGACCGCGTTCTTTATCTATATATATGGTTTTTCGTTTTATCATTATTTCATGTTCGAGGGTACCTCTTGTCTTGACTAAATTCGCCTGAGATTCCTCAGTGCGTTTTAATTCTGTCAATATAGCAGAAGTTTGTTCGCCAAGAGATTTCACTTCTTCGATAAGACTAAATAAAAGTTTTTTCATTCATTCATTGCTTGAATTTGTTTTGATAAAGCATGCTTTATTAAAATTATTAACTAATAATCTTTTTTTAAGTTACTTACGCAAACTGAGCTGCATCTCGACAACTTTCGATATTCTGTCGATTCAATCTATTATCCAATCTCGTTTGTGCTAATTTCATGGCGTTATTTAATCCCTTCGTCGAATCCCGAAGTTCTTCAATCAACTTTTCCGTGCTTGCTAATTCACGTAAGCACTAAAAAGAAAAATGTTCTTCGTTAAATTTTACTTAATTTTGTTTTGTGCATTTTGTTGTACACTCATAGATTACTTACACGAAGTAATTCCTTTTCTAATTGCTGAAGACAATCTTGCGTAAGTTTCACATTTTCCGCGAGTGCAATATCAACGCAAGTTGCTTGATCGCGTAGGTCTTTAATAGAATTAATATATATTTCGTTCAAAGTCGACCTTAAATTTATTGATTTTTGTCTAGCATTCTCGCTGACGGCTAATGTTTCTCGCGTGAAGTCATCATAACTTGTAGGAGTTGATTGACTGAAAAAAAGTAAAATATTCATTAGATAAATTGACGATATCGAAAATCTGTAATTAGTAGCAATTAAACTATTCTCTCAAGTAAAAATAAATGATTAAATCGATTATCTGTATTATTATCATCGCTATTTCTTATGAAAATTTAACTTCTTATAATATTCTATTTAATGTCAGACTTGTATATATAAAGTGCAAACTTACTCGACTGGAAATCTCGTAGCTCCAGCTTTCCATAACAGAAGAGGAGAATCGTTAGATAAATTCGTACACAAAGATTCTATATTATAAGTATGAGCCTTATCAGACCAATCGTTCTCCATTCGCGCTTTGACGGTCTTTAATTCAATCATCTGTGTCTCAATCTGTTCGTAAGTTCTATTGAACAAATTTCGTATTTCCGAACAAAGCGCTATTTCCTAAAACATACACGGAGAGAATTTTCTATTAGAATTTATCCCGAAATTGATGGTAATCGTGAAACAATATGGTATTGGAAGAATTTTATAAGAGAATTTTATATTTATAATTTTCTCTAATTAATATTTACCACAATAAAAAATATTAATGTCAATCACAATAAGATATAAAATATGTTTGATTAATTTTACTAAAATATATAGTAAAATTTCAATAATTTTAAAATATATTAAAAACTATATTGAAAACTTATGATTCTTTAGAATAGATGCCAAAAAAGTGATAAACATAAAATATTTTATATAAATTTTACAATGTAGTATATTTTCAGCTTAAGCATTCATAATTTTAACATGCAACATGATAATTTTCGGTTATTTTTAAATATGATAAAATTTGTAGTCATTTTGTGATAAAATATGACAAAAAATTCTCTTCGTGTATAAACTCAATTTAGGAATGAAGAGATTTAATTGCCAATCATTAATTGCAAATTTTTTGGGCGGGGAATTCATCGAGATTCAACCTTTGTCAGTTGCTCCTCGACGTTATCGCGGACGAGATCCGATTCCAAGCGAAAGGAACGTAATTGCAGAAACTCGTTTGCAATAGATGTAGGAATGATCAATATTGACAAGGATCGCTGTACTCGACGACGCTCAGCCTCCAACAGTTCTATCTCTTCCACATTGGCAGCGATCGCGTGTTCCAATTCCGTCTTCCAACGATACACCACGTTAGCTCGTGTTTTTAAATGTTCCGTCGTCTCTAATTGTGTTTTATCAGCTGCCGTATATGTTTGATCCACGCATTGCTTCGCGTGGCTGGCCGTGACTCTAAAAAATTAATTTTTATGTCAATATTACAAATATATAGTAAAATATATATTTTTTATACATTACATATATTTTTCTATATAATAAATATATTTTTTATATAGTAAATATATATTTTCCTATATAATAAATATATTTTTTAAATGCGACTGAATTGATAAGTAATACTTTTATCACACATAATAATGTGTGTTCATTATTAGTTCATTTAAAAAATATATAGGAAAATATATAGTGTGTTGACTCATACTGAGCGTCATAAATTTTCTCATCCGACTGCTGAAAGGTATTCCAATTATGGGCTCGCCATTCACTTGGTCCATAACGAGTGATGGAATATCGATCTGTGACTGGTCTTAAACCTGTGATTCCACCTTTAGTGGAACACGTTACGCTGCCCGTGGCCCATGGTCCAAGTGGTTCCATTGAACATTCAGGCTTCGGTGGATAATCATCCTCGGGCTGAGGTAAATAGGGTGGAGGTTTTTCGACGTTGTCTCCGCAAGCATCTCCGTGTTCCACCGCAGGACTCGGTTGCATTTTCTACCTCGAAAATTTGTCACGAGATGAGGGATAATAGATTGTGCATGTCATGCAAGATCAACGATAAATAAATACAATTCTCTGCAAATATACACGCCATTCATTCAGTTTGCTTTCTATTGTTATGTTTAAATTAACGTGCAGTTGCATTTTACATATATTGATGAGACAAATAAATATAACATAAAAATATAAATATAATTATAAAAAAATATTTATAATTATAAATATAACGTAAAAAAACTTACCGCAGTTTGTTGTGAAACACCCTGCGAGGTTTCGACCAAACAATCATGTTCGTTCAAAATAGACATTTCTTAAAGCAATTAATTACACAAAATTTGTATATATCTTTTAAAATTTAAATTTTACAAATGTACTGCAAATTTAAAAGATTTGTTTAAAATGCACGTAACGTAATCAATATATATATGAATTTCCATGAGTTTGAGTTGCCACTTCTGTGTTGCCATATACGTATGCTGAGAAAACCTGGTTTAAGTATCGATTTAATACAGCATAGAGTCGCTTCATTTTTTTACGAATAAGAAAGAATTATTTTTTCATTAACCTATTCTGTGCGTTTTTGCTGTCAAAGAAAAATTATTATTAATAAAAATATCTACGAGTGCCCAACTTCGGGATATTTGCACATCATAAATATTTTTCAAGATACTATACTTATCTACATCTCATACAAGCGAATAAATGTTATCGCGCTTCATGTAACGAGATAAATAATATGCAAAATAATATTATGCATTCGGGTAAATGTTTAAAAGATATAATCTTACTGCTATCACAATTGATTTTTTAGCCTACACTGAATATATAAAAGTGTATTAATACTTTGATATTATTCTATCAAAGCTGACAATAAGTATGCACAAAGATGCCCCAAAGGTCGAATCTCTTTATCAACACTGAGAATATTTTTTACTGACTGTGTTATTTTCACATATGTGTAATTTTTTGATAAATTCTATGAATAATTAAATTCAAAAGCTGATATCTTTCTCTAAAAAAGAACATTATTTAAGAATATTTCAAAATTGACAACTATATATCTATGATAAGATAAGACAGATAATTTAAGAAAAAACAAAGCTCTGATAAGTGTTACTTTGTTTACAACTAACATTATATAATTATAACGAATGATAATCTCAAAATAGCTTCATGAAACCTATATATTTAGTAGAATTCTAAAAAGAATACAGTGCTGTTTCTACATAAGTAATATCTATTATAAAGGGAAAAATAAAATTGTTTGATTTTTATACCATCAGGATACCGATTTAATAACACAATGTTTTTTTTATCGAAGTTTCAGTCTCACTAATCACATTGTATATATATGAATAAGGACGTAAAATATGATATAAGAGATATCTTCCCGAGGTGTAATTAGAGCTAAAGTGTATCAAATCTTATCACACGTTTAAAATAATTAGTTGATAACGCTTGACTACTTAAACAAGTATTATCCATTTCTCATAATTGCTGGTTAACTGTCGTCGAGTATAGACGTAAAATAGCTGATTGTGAGAAGAAAATGGCAAAGCATTCGGTGGAAATTAAATATACCAAAGTAAGTTGATATTTCGTATAATTTCATAAAGAGTGCATAGTGATATTATATTTTTCAAATTAATATATATATATATATATATATATATATATATATATATAATTGTAGCTTTTCATTGACAATGAATTTGTGGATGCTGTGAGCGGCCGTACATTTCCCACAATAAATCCCGTTGATGGCAAAGTTATCACAGAAATTTCCGAAGGAGATAAGGTAAAATTGTTTGCGTAATATCACATAATATATATTTCAGTGTTTAGTCCTGGAAAACACAGATGAAATTTTACAAATGGCGAATTAGAAAATTCTCGTGCTATTTTTTATTTTAAAATCTTTAATAAACAATTAAAATTAACATTCGATTTCTTTATTCGAAATTTATTTAATATAAAAAAGTAACGATTTAATGTAAAATTGGAAAAGTATTACACAAAATTAGACGCTTTATTAATTTTTGCACTTGGAAATTTATTAGATTTTCTCATTTGTGTTTTCCATGACTTCAAGAAAAAATATAGAATTTGAAGGGCACTAAAAAACTCAGAATAAAAAATATTAAATGAAGAACATAGGTAAAAAAAACTTAAACTTGTCAAAATTTGAATGTCAAAAAAGGAATCCGAAACTCTAAATAAAAAATGCTTCAAATATGAATATTCAAAAAATAGAACTCGTAAAAATTTTTGTTTTTGATAAGAGATGATTTGTTTGCTTGTTTGTCGCGTGTGATAAAAAAGATATTAACGTATCATTTATCTTCATTCTTTGTCTTTATTCCCAAATTTTTAATTTTTTCTTCAAAAAAACCGACAAAATATGTACGGAATATATTTCTACTAATTTGTTTTCCATTTTAATATATTTCACATCTGTGTCTCACACAAAAAATTATGCATTCTTTTTTAATTTGACATGTTTACGTTTCTTAGCAGATGTAGATTTAGATATTGAAGAGGAATCTCAGTGATTTTTAGAATGTCTTTTAGATAAAAACATTGATATAACAATCTTCTGTTTATGCATCATATTTAATAGATAAAAGTTATTGATATCAAAGATTGATTAAAGAGATAATAGATAGAAACATTTTAAGTAATATCAGCTGCATATGATTAAAAATTGTAATTCCTGATCTAATTCTAAAAAAAATAAAAACTGTATTGCTGCACATAATATTGAAATTAAATTGTATCTCATTAATTATGTGTGACGCTAAAAATGTTAACAAATACTAATTTAAATAAGAAAGATTAATCAATTATAATTTAAAAGATAAATTTTTTAGCTCGATGTAGATAAAGCAGTGGCTGCTGCTAAACGAGCTTTTGACAGAAATTCGAAATGGCGTCAAATGAATCCATATATTCGTGGACAACTCATGCACAAGGTAAATTATACCGTATAAAATATACCAAACAATAGTTACATAATCTGAATAAATCTAACAAAAATTAATAAAATAGTTGGCAGATCTCATCACGCGCGATTTAGATTATATTGCTTCTCTTGAAACTCTTGATAATGGCAAAACATATGCAAGTGCTAAAGGTGATATACAAGCAAGTATTGCTTTTCTTCGTTATTATGCAGGCTGGTGTGATAAGATAGTGGGAAACACTATCCCAACAGGTATTTATATTTTCGACATTGTTTATGATTATTTTAACGTTTCTGTATGAGATTACTTGTATAAGATAATTCTGAATTTGTACGTACAATGTATATTGTTATATCAACAGATTATTAATTAAGAGAGTGACCACTAAATCGAATATAAACTATTAACCTTATTAATATAAATTATTATATATTATATCAATGTTTATAATTTTCTACTATATTCATGAAGAGATAGATAAATTATAAATACCAGTAAATAATTTTATTTATTACTTGACTAGGTGATTCCAATGTTACATTGACGCGAAGAGAGCCAATCGGCGTTGTAGGACAAATCATCCCTTGGAATTATCCTTTCATGATGTTAATTTGGAAATGGGGTCCTGCATTGGCAACTGGATGCACTGTAGTCTTAAAACCAGCAGAACAAACGCCTTTGACTGCACTTTACGCAGCCGCTCTTGCTAAGGAGGCAGGATTTCCAGCAGGTGTTGTAAACGTCATTCCAGGTTACGGTCCAACTGCTGGTGCAGCTATTGCTGAGCATCCAGAAATTCGTAAAGTTGCATTTACTGGATCTACTGAGGTATTCACATTTAAATAAATATTTTATGTAACATTATAGAATAATTAATACAAGTAAATTATATTTTGCTTCTACAGGTCGGACATGCCATAATGGCAGCAGCTGCTAAAAGTAATCTTAAACGTGTCAGCCTTGAATTAGGTGGCAAAAGTCCACTTGTTATCTTTGATGATGTTGATGGTACGTTGTAAATAATATATTTAATAAATAATTATTATATTTTTATTTCTATTGCAGTTTTAATATCTATTATATTAATTTATAGTGAAAGAAGCTGCGAAAATCGCGCATGATGCTATATTTAGCAATCATGGGCAAAACTGTTGCGCAGGATCGCGAACATTTGTGCACTCTAAAATATATGACGAGTTTGTAAAACACGCTAAACAGCTAGCTCTTGCTATAAAAGTAGGGAATCCATTCGATTCTACAACGGATCAAGGCCCGCAGATCGATCAAGTTATGTTGGACAAAATTATGGGTCTAATCAGTTCGGGGAAACAGCAGGGCGCTGTTGTGGAAGTTGGTGGAAATCGCGCGGGTAATACCGGTTACTTCGTACAGCCTACAGTTTTCTCGAACGTGACCGACGATATGCGAATTGCCAAAGAGGAAATTTTTGGCCCCGTTCAATCAATTTTGAAATTTGATACCATGGATGAAGTAATTGAACGTGCCAATCGCACCAACTATGGTCTTGCCGCTGGTGTAATTACTAAAGATATTGATAAAGCTTTGGAATTTGCCCAAGCCGTAGAGGCAGGCAGTGTTTGGTAAGTAAACAATTTTATGAAACATACTTTGCCATATGAATATAAATAAATATCTATGCTAAAGTCGTAATTTTTATTAGGGTAAATTGTTACGATGCTATCACACCCCAAACACCATTTGGTGGATTCAAACAATCTGGCATAGGACGTGAATTGTACGTAATAATTAATTAAATTACATTAATCTAAATACTATGTAATTAAACTAACAATGTTATTAATTATTAATTATTTTTTAGGGGTGAAGAAGGCCTAAAAGAATATCTCGAGATTAAAACTGTTTCCATCAAAGTTGCAAAAAGAACTAATATCCAAAATATACAATGTGTCTTGATTTTTACTATATCTTTTTTTAATCGATTTGAATAACGTTTTTTGTAACAGATGCTTAATAAAATACAATTATATATATATATATATATGTAATAATATTTACCTTACATAATATTGATATGAAAAAATCATATTAGAATATGTATTAGTAATTTAAAAAAGTAAATAACATAGGATTACAAAAAAGATTAAAGAAACAAAATAGTGTTTCATATTTTTACTAATATATTGTACTTTTATTCTATTATAAGCATTAAAATTTTTATTTTAAATAAAAAGAAGTATTTTACCTTATATAATATTTGAAAAACTATCTATGTACGAGCAGGCTCTACATAATCATCTGGCGGTATACCTAATTCTTCATCTGTCCATTTGGATGTTTCGGGATATGGAAATTCTCCCTAAACATAAAAAGTTATTATATTAGAAGCTATAGCAAAATTGTTACATTAGAGAATAATAATAAATATTAGAATTGCACAAAAGTGAGATGTTCAAAATTATTCGATACTTACAACAATATGACCAAAGTCATGCCAGAAATGCCATAAGACCCACCACCACATAAAACCTCCAAAAACTTCAGCTGCATATACCCATTTCTTTTCTACTGGTGGAATCTCACGATATGATCCATGATAATGACTGACAAAATAACAATAATACATATTAGTACATCTAATAAATCACATTAATAAATTATAATATTGCAAAAAATGGTTATAAGAAACTTTTTCTACATCAATATTATATTATTAATCAATATATATTCGATGTGAACACATTCGAAATACATTTACTTTTATTTAACATGTTCGAACACTAGTAATATAATAGACTGAGAGTTAACCTATAAAACATACAGGGTTACATAATAATTTTACTTACTCGTGACCGAATCTGACGGACCGTAAATTCGTCGCAGGAATTTTATTTTGGCTACTTCTACAGGCAATTCTCAATAAATTCAATCCTCGTGAAGTTATCATTGTGAAGAATCGTTACTCACAGCGGATCCTTCTCAGCCTCAGCTGCAACTTGCGCCCTTGCGCACTGCGCAGCAGTACTACGCATGACGTAAGACAGGTTAAGTTAGAGTAGAATAGTTTGTGTGTGTGTGTGTGTGTGTATGTGTGTGACAATAAAGAGATATATTATATATATAACACATATACATCTTATTACTAAATAAAAATAAAATTGCTGTTAGCAATTGATACAATGATTAGAATTTGTCCAAAATGTAATTTCATCTTTTTATATTTATTAAATTCTTATAATCATTTTGAAGTAAAATAAATATAAATCAATTTTGAATTTTATATATATATAGTATATATATAAAATTCAAAATTGATACAAATTTAATTCTTATTATATATAGTATAATTCTTTTAAGATGTAAGATACATATACATACATATATATATCATTTTGAAGTAAAATAAATATAAATCAATTTTGAATTTTATATATATATATATATATATATAAATATCAAAATTGATTTATATTTATTTTACTTCAAAATGATATATATATGTATGTATATGTATCTTACATCTTAAAAGAATTATACTATATATAATAAGAATTAAATTTGTATCAATTCTAGATTAAATATAAAGATTAAATCTGGGGGGATACTCTACCCAGACAGCACCAAGCCCAAAATTGGCGCATAAGATATCATTAAGAAATCTTTAAGACAGCTTTAGGAAATCTTATGATATGATATCCGAAAGACATCTTAAATATATTTTAAAGATATCTTATGCGCCGATTTGGATTTAGTGCTGTCTGGATAATATTATTTCTAAATATTTCAATTACATATTAAATCAATTGTTCACAAAGCAATTTATAAATTTTTAAAATTTTAAATAATTATATCCTGGATTATTTTCGTACTTTATATGTATTGAGTTTCGATACTTCGAGAGTTGTAATTTGACATTTCGAATTGCGATCATTCATATTTCTCTATTAATATATTGTAATTTTATTCTATTATATAAGTACTGAAATTTTGTGACTTATTTTACCTTCATATATATAATTGCGACTTGAGAAATTATCTATGTACAAGCAAACTCATCTCTACATAATCGTCTGGCGGTATATATATTTAATTCTTCATCTGTCCATTAGGATGTATTTGGATGCGGAAATTTTTCCTAAACATAAAAAAATTGTTTCATTAGAGAAATGATAAAATTGTGACACATTAGAGAATATTGTTCAGCGCTATACGTTGAATCGCGCGCATTCAAATCGCTTTTTGAAATGTTCACTATTGTATACACATATATAAGCGCATGATATTATTTAATATTCTAGGCGTATTCTTAGAATATTAAATATTCTAAAAATACGCCTAGAATATTGCTTAAATATTAAATATCATGCGCTTATAGGGTACATATATGTTAACTGCGTCTACATTTTGTTCGTAGAAAACTCTTAAAAATGTCGCATAAAATGCTTTGTCACAATAAAAATATTACATCTCGTATAAAAATCTACCGCTCTTATATCTAAAAATCAACAGATATCATATGTCACATCTGATAAAACTGTGTACGTGAGATTCAACGAAAAGCAAAGTAATCACTTTACAAAATAATCATTCTTTTAAAAAGCATACAAAAATATATATTCAATAAAATTATAATATAGAAAATCTTAGAGGATTTGACGCAAAATTAATTTTATAGTCTGAAATTATCAACCATCTTGAGAAAGAGATCTTTTCTTTTGTATTCAAAATATCATACTAATTTGATAATTATATACTTTGACATTTATTTAGTGGAAAAAAATAATCTAATAAAAATCTAATATTTTAGTTAGCATTATATTATTGTTATCATCATTTTAAATTATATTATATATACATTTGTGATTTACACTTTTATAATATTTAGCTTTTAATAAATCAATTACAAAAATTTACTTGTAAAAAAATTATCTAATGATTTAGTTACCAAATTATTATATTGTTATCATAGTTTTAATTATATCATATATTTATGATTTATCCCTAACAGCATAACATGTCTGAAAGACGTTTGGAGGATATTCAAAGGACATCTGCACATCCTCTAAATGTCCTCTAAACATTTTTTGGATATGTGTGTTAAGGATACTTCATAATATTACGTTTCTCTTTGATATATTTGTTTGGTATAAGAAAAATTTTTTGATTGCCTATTTTACTATTATCATTTTAATTTGACTTGCTATTATTCGAATATTATCAAAAAAATATTGCACATTTATTTTTAAGAAGAGAAAATGTCGAGAAATACGTACATCAAGCGTTTTTATCAGAAATATCTAAACGTTATAATCATCTCATAATTATAAATTAACTTACAATCATACAACAATAAAGTTATATTTATACTGATTAGTATATATACTTGTTTACTAATAAATGTCATAAATCATAAATCGAAATCGTAAAAAGCAAAGAATACAATGCGCCTGTGTCTTATATTTGGAAATAGAATTTTTGCAAGATAGTGTACGCATTTTATTAGAAATAAGATTATATTTTCAAGGTGTAACGTATTTAAGTAAAAAAACTACCTGGCTGCCCTTTTCCATTTTGTCCTGTCCTTCTTTTATGAGATTAATTTATGACAGCTTAACAACACAAGTCGATGGAAGTCGTAGAAGTATATCAGCCGCGGAATGTTCGCCATTATCCGCGGTACTACTGAAACTTGGGGAGCAAAAGGGGCGCTCTTCTATATTAGGGGAGCGTCGCGGCTCGTTGCTATTGGCCAAGCAGGGACGCTTTTACAAGCTGCAGCGAGGCATTTGGTTCCCGAGGTAGCAACCCTGCCGAGACTTATCCCGCATTGGCGCTTCGACCGTAACATGTGGCCCCCGGTCGTATCTAATATATTTTATAGAGGCCGTCGTCCAGTATCTTTCTCTGGCGAACGATCTCTTAACCGTAGATACGAAACACCCATGTAACCTGGAACAAAATTGTCTTTGCAAAAATACATGAAGTAAAACAGTATGAAAATTTAAGTTAATAAAATGTTAACATTTTTTTAACAGAAAAAAAACAAATAAAATACAAAATAGAGATAAAACAAAGATAAAAAATTTTGTATAACATATTTTTCCGTTCTAAATATTATCAGTATCATCTGTATATATGTATATTTATACATTGTCACAATCGTATATAATTGTTTCTGTTTTTATCATATGTATTACTTTTAGTACATTAACTGCCACAAATATGATCGACATTATATTAACGTAAAAGTAAACGTCATATTTAAGTTAAATCTTGTATTTAAATGTCTTTGCCATAATTCATATTTAATTCTGATTGTACTAAATCATAACACTAAATATAAATCACTAACTGTAACAATATCATTTATATTATGCAATATATCATACTTATTCTTAATTATTGTATTTTTTGTATATATATTCATGTTATTTAATAAAAATTAAATAATTGTAAGAGTAAAAAAGTAATTAAAACAAATTATAATATATTTGAAAAATATTTTATCGTGTCTGTGATATTTTTTAGAAGAAAAATATACATGTTTGTTTTTACAGCGATCTAGTTGCTTTGATCTATTTTATATATATGTAAGAGAGACAGTAATGATTTTTATTGGCATTTTTTCTAAAAAAAAAATCAACACACTTCCAATTTGTTAAGATTATTATTAATAATTAATCTTACAGAAAAATAAAATCTACTGTGTATATTATAAAATAAAAAAACTTGATATATAAGTAGTATATATCTGCATTAATTTTAAATTGAACTTTTAAAATCTCTTGTTTAAGTCGTAATATATACTCAATTTCTTATAATAATGTTTTTTTTAAAGATGTTATATATATTGCAACTTTGTAATTTTTTACATATACTTTTTACTCAGCTCAAATTAATAAAAATTTTGTTATAAAGTAGTCTGTTTAAAATGAGCAAAAAATATATATAGAATAAGATAATTATCATTTATTTTATATATTATATGTATATGTTTCAAAATAATATATTGCATAATTTTTGAAAGTAATCGACAAATAAATAACTTACTTTATATTAATTACATTATGATTAATTTAGTTTTTGATAAAAAAGATAATATATAAATGTAGTTTTCATTTGTTTCCCTTTCATTATTTCAATGTATACATGTATAAAAATTTAACCGTATTTATCGAAATAAGAATTTTATCAAAAAGATATAATTAAATATTATATAGAATAGGCATAGAAATGCATTAATATTAGCAAAAATTGCATTTCCATTTTTGCAAAGATAGTAGAAATCTAAGATAATTGAAATATTTATATATAAAGCATCATAGTTTTATTTCTATATAAATCAAATTATATAATAATATAATTATATAAAATATTAATATTATATTTTATAACTTTTTAGCACATATATATTATATATATCATAATTTAATCGCGAATTAAATTCAATAGAAAGTATTATAAGATTTCCACACAGTGTCTCGAAATCAATCGCATATTATACAAAAAATGTATCATTTAATTCTTAATTAAACGAAAAGTTTCGTTAACTTGAATATAGTTGTAGAATGCATTTTTTTCAAGAAAAATATTATTGTAGAAATAAATCTTCTGAAAAAAATTAATTTTGTAGCTATACACTACTTTTTATTCATGTTTTCTTAATTTATTATTATTATAATTTGATTTATTATTGTTATAACTTTAATTTTCTTTTTGAATTTGCGCATAGATACTTACATCATTAAATCTATTCTCTGTAGACGACTCTGTATATGATTTAATCGATATGTCGTTCATAAGCAGCAAAAGTATCCCATGATTAGCTATGTGCATACGTGTATTAACCAGATGCGTCAGCGCATCATATCCGACCCATTGTTAATTCATATTTTTAGCGTCGCCACTTGGGCTAGTGTTTATACCATCGCGGTAACTTTCGTTTAGAGAAAGAAAATTTATTGATGATCCACGTTTACGAGACCATTTGGCGGTTTCCGTATACGCTCCCTGTAGATTAAGAAAAAGAGCGGACTAAGTCGCACCCCTTTTACGACCACGTAAACTGCATTAGATTGCAAATTCTCGAGCACATAATAACGGTCTCATCGTCATCGTCGTCCCCATGGCGAAGAACGGGGCCTGTAGATTAGATGGCTCGTTCGATGGGAGATACGAGAAATATGTCAGCTCGTATCCCTCGTCATCCGGGGGGCATCCACCCCTTCTTTTGGTTGACGTGGCGCGCACGCAATTTCCTTCATCCCTTCTTGCCACGAGAGAGTGTTTCCATGGATACTCAGTCGGCCATTTTGTTCCATGGGCGTAAGGGATGCGCCTGAAGAAAATCCGATAAATTAACCACCGCTACGTGGGAAAGTACTTTTAAAATGGCGACACATTTCCAACCATAACATAGTAAAAAATATTGCATTTCAAATATAATTTTATACTTTTTTCTTTATGCAATCTACTTTTTCGTTACCTACACAGAGAGGATTTTCTCTTACAATTAGAATTTATCCCGAAATTCATGGTACAGTATGGCATTGGACGAATTTTATAAGAGTTTCTCTGATTAATATTTACCACAATAAAAAATAGAATATTTACTACAATAAGATATAAAATATGCTTGATGAATTTTACTAAAATATATAGTAAAATGTCAATAATTTAAAAATATATTAAAAACTTATGATTTTTTAAGTATTTTAAGTAGAATAGAGAAGCATATAAAATATTTTATATCAATTTTATAATGCAGCATAATATTTTCAATCCAGCTTAATTGTTCATGATAATTTTAACATACTGCATACTTTTCGACGTATTACAGATTATAATAAAACTTGTAGCGAATTTTACGGTAAAATATAAAAAAAATTCTCTCCGTGTAACTTTTTTAATAATATATACCAACAAGAAAAGTATTGTAATTGTAAAATTATTTTTTAATAATGTTTCATCTTTAACATTATTTTTATACAATATTTTTTGTAAAAATAGAAATGCACGAATATGCAATTATATAATTACATTCAAATTAATATATAGAACACATAAAATTTTATTTTTTTCGAGAGAGATGAATCGATATATATTCTTTTTATGTACGACTTCTAAGAAATAAATACTTTGCTCTAAAAATGCGATTACATTACTTTTCATTTTGTCAATTATAAGAAAATATTTCTTATTTTTTTAATCACCCGTGATTGCCACATACTACAAGTTACAAAACCATATGATAAAATAACCCAGAAAAATAGAAAGTAAAAAGAAATGAGTGCACCTGAAACTGCTTAAAAAAGCAATAAAACTGCCATATGAACCGCACATCTCCGAATCGCATTCTTTTCACGCATATTTGGCATTATTGTATGACCAAAATTCCGCGACGTTGTGTTCCACCAACAGAAGGTTTCGATGAATGGGTTGCTAAAAGCGTACTTTTATTGCGCCTGTAAATATTACAACCTCCAATGCGTTCAGCTTGCTCCTTCTTTTCTGTAACGAAAATCTCGTAACTGAAAAGATCAGGAAAAATGTCTAAAGAATACTATTATATTTGAAATTTTTATATCCTTTTATATATGCACATATTCATGTACTTCTGAATTTTATTTATATAATGGAAAAGTTAATAATATGAATATGGAATAATTTATTATATGGAATAGTTTTTTTCGATAGATTTGTGTAATCGCGAAAGTTTAGATTTTCATACATTTCATATTAATAATATTCATTGCAATATGATACATTAAATTATATATGTATCTATTATATATGTCTTGAGTGTGTAAATTGTTATTAAAATGTTTAGATGACCTTTAATGATGTATTCTTCGATCAATTTAGAATTATTCTCCATAGCTAATTTAAAATAAGCTTTTAAATTTTAACGTAACCTTTTAATTTCCAAGCATCTTAGTAATTAAATTTTAAAATATAACATTATTGCATTAAAATGTATTCAAAATCAAATGCAAATCTTAAAATTTGATTATTAATTTTAATTGTTGAAGCTTAATTTGCGGCTTTTATCTTTAGTTGATCACAATACATATATAATGATTAAAATCTCGACAGTTTTATTAAAGAAAAAAATGAATTGATTCAAGAATGCATATATGTAAAACGTATTTAACTATTAATAATAGATAGATAACGTATTGTATATTATCTTCGATACATATAAAATATTTTAATCTTGCCAATTTAATCGGGAAAGAATGAAATATTTACAAATCTTTCATGTGTTAGGAATAAAAATTGAAAGTCAAACAGAGGCAATAAATATCGCTAGCGGTAGCTAGTTATCCCAAAGACTTATACGCACGGTTTCTTTTACTTGTCAATAAAAACGTGCCACATGCCCTGTTTCCTTGGTAACGATCGTAGAATATATTTCCTTCTTCGCAGTCAAGTCCTCCAATATGTCTTCCGTGAAAGTAACGAGGAAGTCGTTGGCCGCCGGTACTTTCGATGCGGTAGCAGCTGCTGAATCGCCAATTGGTTTTGGCAATCTATTTAGAAGAATGATAAAAATGTCATTTTCTTTTTTTTCAAGCTACTCGATATAGTATATTATTGTATTTATTAATCCTAAAAGCCCAAATAAAAAATAAGTCTGGTTATATCACTTGTATTATTAACAGTACCTTTATCTTACAATTTATTTACTATAAAAAAAGAATTTTATGACAAGTATTTTCTTATGATATATACATTTTCTTTTTGATAATGTAAGTAAAAATTAATAATACATTTATCAAAGAATCTATTCATCTTTTCTATTCTTTATTCTATTTGTCTAACTAAGACGATAATTACATAAATTATGTATAGCAATAGTAATCTTATGTTGTCATTATTTGTTTTTCTTTCACAAAAGATATTTTTTTATTAATGTATGCTGTAAAAAAATCTGGCAACTTCTAAGAAATTAATAAGTCATTTTTTAAATTGGATACAATCAATGAAATACCGTTATTTTTACAAAAAATAAAAGAAAGAATTAGGTATGCGCGCGTGCAACTAAAATTGCACAATTTATCAATTATAAAACATCATAAAATTTAATAGCAAAAAAATGCAAGAACAAAAAATATCTGAAAAAATTTAAAAGTAAAATGTTATATATCTGTTACTTATATCTTTGCTTCTATAATAAAAATGTTCTTTTATAATAAAAATTTTATGCTAAAGATTGAATAAATTGTTCAGTAAATTCATTACAAAATATAATGGAATAATAAATTTGTTTATAAATATGAATGTACCAAAAGTGATAAATTTAAATTTATATTTTCCTTTTCGATTTATTAGATATAAAAATAAAAACTATTTAATAGTTTAGATAATGATCAGGTTATATAAATACACGTCGGCTATAAATCTAAAGCAGAGTGTGTACTAAATCTACTATGTCATAATTTCTTATGCGCGTTAACTATACTTTGTTAAGATAACGAGGACTAGAATTATCGCTTGCAGGGAGATCCTTAGAAAGTTAAGAAATCGTTCGCTCATACTAACCGCCAATCATTGCTTCATAAAATATACAATGCGTGTAAACCCATTACACACGAATTTAAAGATATTGCACGAAGGATCACATCGTCTTGTTTTCCTCGTTAAGTGCGGCTCGTTCGTGTCTGCAAAAAGAGAAGAAAATAAAATACTTATCCCTTTCGCAACTGCTATAATTATATATACGAACGAGAATTTAAGCGAACTGTCTGTAATTACCGAAGATAAGCAATATATATATATATTAGATTCTATAAAAATTCGTATAAATTTGTTTAAAACCAAATAAGCTTGATATTTTCGATTCATATAAAAAATTTTATAAATATCTCGTAACAATTTTCAGCAAATACTAATATTTTTTTCGAGAAAAAACTGCATATATATTATTTTTATATTATACATATATATGTATATATGTGAATTAGTATCAAGATAAAAGAAAGATAAATGTACATTCATATACTCATATACTACATAATGTATATTGTATATACATTATAATAGAGCATTAATATATAATAAAAAAATATTTATTGAAATAAAACTGTAATGCCAATTTTAATGCGCAATCAATTAATATATACGTTAACTAACCTGTATGACCGGCTCTTTGCTTTCATATCATCATCAACCGTATTTGTGTAGATCTCCGATCCATTTATATCCATATTTATATCCACAATATCATAACATTATCTCGTAAACATTTATAATAATGCGGATAATTATAAACGAAAGAATCGATCATGGAAAATGCGATTTATTCACCTGAAAAGTATTCATAATATACTCTTTATTTTCAAGACAGATATGAAGATAAGCTAGATGTTCGCATGAAAATAATTTGTTAGATTTGCATGCTGATTGTATTTCTCTACGTGATCTCAAATATTATCATAAAAATTACCATTTGATGTAATATTTTATGTCGTCGCATTCCTAAACGGATCGGTATCGGCTTCGCACTACTGTGTTGCAAAATGTAACAAAACAAAGTGGCCGGGTGGTTAGGAGGCCTGGGGGTCGATTGTGTAACTTTTTCTAAAGTAAAAACGTGAAAAGTGAAAAATTTCCACCAATCACGCATTGATTTTAAGATAAAATCGATGTGTGATTGGAAGAAATTTTTCACTTTTCACATTTTTACTTTAGAAAAAATTACACAATCGAACCCCTGGCTCGAGCTGTCACTCTCTCTCTCTCTCTCCCGTTTCCCGCCAAAACAGTACAGCGCTTCCCCCACTTTACTCCTTTATTTTATGTATCCACCTCCCCCAATAATCGCGCCACCGTAACGAGTCCGCACACGTCACGACTATCCTGTCACATATACATGTATACATATAGTACACACACATGCACGAACGAATTTTTCAGTCTATATAATATTATTACGAGAATGAGATAAATCAATATTTTAGTTAATTACTAAATATTCTAATGCTATTATTCTAATTACTAAATATTCTAATATATTTGTTGATAACTAAAAATAAAAATTATGTTATCGATTTTCGCGTTTAATGCACATATTTATGAATATTCGATTAATTAACGAGATTAATTTTTGATAGAGGCTTATTATTATACAAGTATGTGTTTAAAATAAACAACATTGTTATACATTAACAATATCTATGTATAAATGCTTTGAAAGTTATATAAAGAACGCAAAAAAAAAATAATTGTCACGGCATGCAAGAAGGGGTCCATTATTCCACTTGTCATTACAAATGCTTCAAATTAGTTCAAATTTTATGTCATTGATCATGTTAAAGAAAAACAGCATAATTTATACTAGCCATATTAAAGTCCCGTAAATCGGAGTCGCGTGATTGGCTCCGCGCACTCTGACGTAATGAAAAGTACATTGTTGCGAGTCTACGTGTCGCGCTTGTTTATGCTCGTTACTAGGTCTTGTTAGGAAAAGCGCGGGCAATAGTGTCGAAACTTGCTCGGTGCTAAGCAAGTCTAATCGCGATCGGGTCGTGAACTTCATCGAATTAATCCAATTAATCGTCTCGTGCCATCGTTTACTTGTCGCGCGTCGTATTCGTATCACGATTTCGAGTTGCTCCAATAATTAAATATCGAGTCGGCCGCAACAATTTCGCGAGCATCTCTCTAAACCGGGTGAACGACACGAAACGAGAAAAAATGTCGGGCAGTAGCGAGTATCGGGAGTGTCAAAAAAGGGTCGATCGCGGATTTTACGCATATAAATACGTGAATATTTTGCGTTGCGCGCGACCGAACTTCGAGACCGAAAATATTTCGCGATACCGGGTGCTTCGATCTAGATCGATTCGTAGACGAAGTTGAGTAAGATGGCGGCGAAGATGATATCGCCTCCGAATGTCGGAGTGTCGGAGGACGATATGTCGGGAGTGTCCGAGTGTCGAGTGCGCGTATTATGCGAGTGTTTTATGTGTGTTATCGTGTGTGATTGGAAAAATCATATTTTTCCGGAGTGAGTGTGCCTTATTGTGGATTACGGGAAGAATTCTTCATCGTCGACGAAGGACAAGGACAAAGGATTGAGCAGAGGAAGATGGCCGCGTTTCAACGACCGGCAAGTGATTTTTTTTTTTAATATTTTTATTATCTTATACTCGCCTGATTAATGTGATATAGAATTGTGTTTCTAACAAAAGTTAGAAAAAAAAACCAGAAATTATATTTAAGGTTTAGGCACATGAAATATTAACATATCCCTTAAAACTGGGATAAATTACGAAGAATATAAAAATTCGAAATGCGTTGCTTGCTCTTGAAATATTTTTTTTTTCATATATTATTATTTATTTGCAACATAGGTGTTATTGTAATTAATAGAGAAACAGCCCGATCTTATATTAATATATCTATTAATTCGATATTTAATATTGCAAAAATATTGAGATCGTTCAAGTTTGAAATTTGCACTGTAGATAATCGTTTGCCACAGAAGGTAACTAGATTCTGAGCATTCTACTATACCGACTGAAAATTATTTTGGGTAACTTCTTTTCCAACATCTTTCTTCTTGAATTATTATGAGAGAATTCTCGCTAGAGGGCAATTCTTTACGTGGGTGTTTTTTCTTAATGCAGCATTGAGAGCTGTCAAGAAAAAAGTAAATATGCCAAAAAAGAAATTTGGTTTTATATTAAGTTTTTTCAGAAAATATTCTTCAAATTAGCAAACGATAATTATGTTGAATTTGGTGTTTATATTTATAATAAGAAAATAAAAAAATAATTAATACATAATAAATCAATTTTTTAAATATTTTTGCATCATGTAAAAGATTTCGTCCGATAGTTATTTGATGTGATAGTAATAATAATAAATTCACAAGATGCTAATAAAAAGATAAAAATGAGTTAAAGAAATAAATATAAAATATATAATATACTTTTATTTTTTAATAAACAAATTTTAATTTAAAAACATTATTTATATCTGCTTAATTATTTTGCAAACTACACCGAATTACATAATTAATAATTATTTTACTTTATTACGTCGTACATATTGCAGTGTATGGAATGATAATTAATTTATATTATGTTATTATCATATGTTTATACATTGTTATCTTCGCAAAAGTAAAAGATTATTTTTTTATGACTGCGATTCTCTTTATTACTCAGTGAGGCATATTAAACGCAAATATATCGTTTATTAATTAATCGCAACTATTTTTTATTCTAATATTTAAATTATGATATTTATAAAACACATTTTTTTATAAATGTACCTTCACCTGCAAAGATATAATATTTTTGTAATTTATGTAACTAAATAATGACAAATATTATACTAATTTTCAATTTTTGAATTTTATTATTATTTTACTTTTAATATATTCACATTATTTTTAATATTTTTGTAAATAAAAATGCTCAATTATTCAAATAACGTATCCTGTCGCAATCGATTAAATTCTTTTACTAAATTACGTTACACAAATTATTTGAGAGAGAATTTATACATTATTAGAAATTTGATACACTGCAATTGTTATAATTAATATACCGATGAAATATACATTGAGAGACTTTAAACGGAATATAACGGAAAGAGATTCTGTGCATTATGAAGGTTCTTTCTCTATAGGCTCTGACTTTTTCCAGCCGCGACAGGTTTTTGAATTGACACTTTATTTCATCTGAAAAAACGGCATCGCAGGTTCGGATACGAAGAGACGACGGCGATATAACTTTGAAAGATGCACCGCGTATTTGTTCGTACACCGCGATAATCAGTTGAGCAAACAACGAGCGAGTCGTCTTTGGCGACGGCCGTCGGATCTCGAAGGACTCGACTGGTTTCAGCAACCATGACGAACGATCAGTTTCTCTCGAACATCACATCTAACTGCATTGCATTTCAATATTAGTCGATTATATTATTGATTTATCGTCATTTTTCTCGACAAGTGTTCGCGAAACTCGTCAATAGGGAAAAGGATTATTATAGTGATAAATTGGTAAAATGTTTGCTTCGTTCTCTTCCTATAATTTGTGGATTATTCTGCAGACTGAGTGAGTGAATATATATAAAACACACGCATATATGTACACACATATTATAAATTGAAGATATTAATAGATGAGATAAATATCTTTGATCCACCCCTTTTAATGCCGCGATTTAATGCGTAAATTTTAGAAAAGTTACATAATTTTAATACTTTCTGCTAATTTGTACATTGAAAAAAATTTGTTATCTTGACTAAATCGTATTATTTTGTTAATTGAGCATATGAAAATATTTAAATTAAATATAGCAAAACGTATATATTTGACTTAAACACTAATATATGTTCAATTAACAAAATAGTAATTTAGTTGAACGGTTTAGTCAAGTTAACAATTTTTTTCAATGCACGATTGTCTATAATTACTTTTAAAATAAAACTGACTTTTACAAATTTCTGATTCATTAAAAATTCGTTTTCTATTACGAAAAAAATATTATTATATTAGATGTTTTCTGAAAAATTATATATTTTGAAGTACAATGAAAAAAATTTGTAAACTTGATTAAACCTTTCAACTAAATATTATTTTGTTAATTGACTATATAAAATATTTAAATTAAATATAACATATTAAAGCTAACAAAACG